CATAAGGCCTATCTACTGTAATAACAATGGGAAAAATTTACCTGAGCGTTTTCAAGAGGGGGAACCTTGAATTTTAAAGAACCTAAATTAAAGTCGCTAAAAGATACTTCAGAAGTTGGGAAAGTTACAGTAATTTCCCACCATTTAGAAATCAACATTTTCCCGGGAAGAACCTGAACCTCCCTTTTCTCTTTGGGTTCATTGATTCATTATAATAATTTTCAAGAGAGGAAAACCTTGAATTTTGAAGAACTTAAAAGTAATTAAAAGACACCTCAGAAGTCGGGAAAACTCATTTCCCGCCTTCTAAGAATAAAAATTTTCTCGGGGGAGAACCTCCGGACCCCCCTTCCTTTTTGGGTTTCATCGATTCATGGAAAATTTGTATGCAACTACTCATATTTTTTAAATTTTTATGTATGTACACACGCATAAAGCCTATTCACTGTAATAACAATGGGAAAATTACCTGACCGTTTTCAAGAGGGGAAAACCTTGAATTTTGAAGAACTTTAAAAGTCATTGAAAGACATTTAAGAAGTCTGGAAAGCTCATTTCCCGCCACCTAGAAATCAAAATTTTCTCGGGAGAACCCGGATCCCCTTTATCTTTGGAGTTCATTGATTAATTGAATCCTTTTCAAGAGGGGGGTGGGGGAACAACCTTGAATTTTGAAGAATTTGAGTCATTAAAAGACACCTCAGAAGTCGAGAAAGCTCATTTCCCGCGACCTAGGAATCAAAATTTTCCCGGGGAAGAACAACAGGACCCCCCACCCCTTTCTTGGGATTTATCGATTCATGGAAAAAAAAATCGTATGCAACTACTCAATTTTTTTGTGTATATATACACACATAAGGCCTATCTACTGTAATAACAAGGGGAAAAATTTACCTGACCGTTTTCAAGAGGGGAAAACCTTGAATTTTGAAGAATTTAATGTAATTAAAAGACACCTCAGAAGTCGGGAAAACTCATTTCACACCTTCTAGGAATCAAAATTTTCCCGGGGGAGAGCCCGGACCCCCTTTCTTTTTGGGATTTATCGATTCATGGAAAAAAATCGTATGCAACTACTCAATTTTTTGCTGTGTATGTATACACATATAACAGGTCTATTTAATGTAATGAGAAAGTTTACCTTACCGTTTTCAAGAGGGGGAATACCTTGAACTTTGAAGAACAAAGTCATTAGACTCCTAGCTCAAAGGCGAGAAAGGTCATTTCCCGGCATCTAGAAATCAACATTTTCCCGGGGAAGGAATGTTGACCCCACCACCTAGATTTGATTCCAGATCTGCATGATTCATATTCCCATTCATCTTACAGTATAAGTGGGCCCCCTCACTTTGAAAAACGTTCCGCTGGCCCTGTTATATGCAGAGCAAATACACAGTTGTACTAATTTATACAGTAAAAATCTCCCAATTACGAGCCTCCCAATTATGAACTCTTGATTTTACGAACTCGATTTGTGGCGAATACATCATTACGAATGATCTTTTTTAACTTTGAAAAAACTTAAAATTGTATTTAAAAGTGGGGCTACGAGCTGATAATGATATATTTGAATAGGCCTAACAAATTTATTGCTTGCCCTTTAGTGAACATGCCACAATGGAAAAATGGAAATTTCATAATACATAACATTTATTAGATTTAGTATGTGAAAATTGCAGCACACTAAAATTCAGTATATTATATGTTTAGTCTCATAATCTCATTGAACCTATGAATTATTTTTTTGATTTTCAGAGAAGAGACCAGAGATGAAGGGCCCACAACCTCGTAAGTACTGTAGATGAATGTACTTTGAATTTTGATTGCCAAGAAATTCATTGAGGATGAAAAATATCATTACCACATTTTTCAAAAAGCTTTTGTCCTGTAGATATCAGGTTGCTAAATTTAAAATCATTTTAATTTATAATTTATGAGTTTTGTCTTTTCTTGTAATATAGTGAACATTACGTTTGTAATTCCAATGTTATATAATTATAAACCAAACTTGACTTTATATAATGGCTTCACTTCCTTCATTGACAGCAACCGCAACAAAATAAAACATAGATAGATCTTTAAATTAAATAATATATGATGAAGACTGAAATATTTTATTTAAAGTTGCAAATATATTTTTTTAAATGTTTTTATATTTTACTTTTTAAACTTTTTATATTGCATTTTATCAATGTAAACATTAGTAAGTTTTAAATTTGTTTTTGAATTTATCTTTCGATATATTGTATAATGTAGTAATCTTGAATTGTTCATATTGGCAGCAAGATATGCATCAACACGTGCAGCACCTATGTTTGAACGTTTCGAGACTTCAGACACAAATGTTAATGTAGTCGTCCTGGCTTTGGGAACTCTGGAGTCTGAGCCAACTATCTTAGCTGGAGACCCATTGCATTGCACTAAGTGTGATGTTGTTTTGTCACATTTATCTAAGCTTCAGAAGCAGGATGAGAAGACAACTTGGAAATGGTAACTATTCAATTTAAGTTTATTTTTTTACTCGTCATATGAATACATATACGATAATTGACCTGCCGCTAAGCTTTGCCTCTTGGATGTTGCAGTGCAAAGGTCCCACAAATTGACAGTATAAAAGCATTTACGTGCGCACATGCATTTGTATTCTTTAGTCGTAGTTCGAGCTAAAACTTCAAAATTACGTCATTTTGTATTCTTAAAACAAAATTCCACTAGCAGTATGACTAAATCAAACACACCTCAACTAAAATGATACCTCTGCAGACCGATTAAATCTCTCAAAATACACTTTTTGTAACTCACGATAGAGTGAAGAGAATAAAAGTGATACGTAGGTCTAAATATCTTGGCTATGTTCAAGAAAAGAGTTAAGGTTAGCTTCAAAAAGGCTAAATTAACATGTTTAACTAGCCACATGTGATACTGTAGTTCTTGATTTGCACAAAATCCCCTTGTGTTGTTTTCACGTAGCTTCATCGTAACATCAACAGAGATGGCGCCATCCTCATATGGGCTCAACCATAATAGTTTTTTGAAGAAATCAAATTTTCAGTGACTTCTCTAATTTCTCTGTTGTTCTCTATGTTAATGACTAATATAGTTATTATTATACAAAATTAATTAAGCGAAAATTATGAGGAAATATATATTTGAGCGACAGACGGCAGCATCTTATTCATCCTTGTCACCAGATCTTTTATTTTGTCTGCTGTTAAAATGAGCTCTTTTCATTGATAGTCGTTGCTTGCCAGCTGTCTATAGCTAAACTACAATTAGGACTTGATTTAGTCGTAGTTAGAACTTTGAATACGCTGTTTAGTTCAATGTTTGACTATAGTTTTATTTTAAGAATACGGGCAACAGTATTTCTTTTACTTAATTGTAGCAGCAATGTGTTTATTTAAGCTGTTGATTGCCATTACAGTATTTGCACTTTTGCACATGGTAATGATGATGTTGACGGCAATAACAAATAAAATGAATAAATAAATAATAATATATATACAGCTGATATTGTTTTTTTTAAATAATTAAAAAAATTTCTTTTTGATTATTAATTATTCACTGTAATCCTGCACAACATTTTAAAAATAAAAATATCCTGAATTGACAGTGCTTTTGGTGTGTTTCTACTGAAAAAGAGAATAACCTTGGTTTTTTATCTTGTAAATATTTCTGGATGTAGCAAATTTTAGAAACCTTAAAATAAACGCAGTGGATATCAGTATACTGAAGCAATAGCATAATTTACAGGCAATCAATCTATTGAGCATACGCATCTTAGGATAGGTGAGGATAGACTATCGACCCTGATTTTGTATGCGCGCAATTGAACATTAAAAAAAGTACTGCCAAGAAATAGGAGGCGCCCTATTAGAATTCAAATAGATTTTGCTCGAAACTCGTCTTTTAAGGACTCACCCCTTTGTGAAAGTACTTTTTGAAATAGGATTGTGTTCCAATGAAACACCGACCAGTTGCACCTCTTGCAGATCTATATTCTTTGTTATGACTCGCCATTGAGATAATATTTTCAGTCAAAATTCATGTTGGCAATCCGGGTGCTGATAACAATTAAATAACCCAAAGATTAGTTTTATTTTTCGAAAACATTTTAACTGTATTGTTTGGTAAATTTTCTAATGTAAATATAAGATGAGCCAAATTAGTCTATTTTAATACACAGTAAGTAAAACAAAACTAATGCTTTATGACACTAGTTTAGAAATTATTTTATATGTTTTAAAACTGACAGGCTGTTTAATGCATTGTAGTGCTGTTTGTTTATAAAGTCCAGTCTTTATCGACACTATCAACATTCATGTGAAATTCCCATATAGGTATGATGGTGTCATATTACATCCATATATGGGCACGATGATGTCATATAATACCCCTGAGCAAATAATGTAAGTTTGTCTTAGAAAAGTGTAGTGTTAAATGTTGTTTAAATACCACATGCTTTTTGATTTTTAAAATTTTCTTACTTCAGTGAATTTTGTTCTGGTGACAACAATGATCTTGATATGGATGATGAAGAGGTAATGTTTTTACCTTAATGATTTTAATGATGGATGTAGGATAGGGTACAGGAATTATTGTATAGTAAACAAAAAGCTACTGTAAATCACAGTAGCTGTAATACAGCTGCTGTATCTTTGTGTACCCTTAATTTCGCGATTTTTGTAATAAAACGCAGATTGAAAAATGTAGGGGGTACGAAAATCGTGAAATTCTGGATGATGAGTTTTGTCTTCAAAAGCAAGCCTATAGGCCTAGCTTGTATAGCAGACTTCTCAAGTACCATGGAACTTCCGTAGTTAGGCCTATTTACTACCGACATTTTGCCTAATTACAGATGTACGGAAATAAACAAAACTACTACGGAAATTTAACACAGGCGATGAATAAATGGTCTAATTTCTCACTACTGATTGTTGTATATCAATCAGATCAGTTAATATACCAAATACATTTCATATAAATATCTATATAAGTTTCTGCCATTTTTCTTGTTGTTTATGTATATAGTTAAATCTAAATGACTTGTGTTATGTTTTAGATTCCAAAAGAAAAGTCTGTGGAATTTCTATTGGCACCATCCCCGTCTCTTGTCGCCTCTGGATCGGGGAAAGCCTCAGCTGTTGATTCCAATGACGGAGTTATTATTTACTGCATCGATATCAGTACATCTATGCAGTCAGCTACCAAAATGCCTGATCTTCAAGGTAATATATTCATTTTATTCTCGACAGATGGTTCAGGTTAAACATGAATACTGAACCTGAGGAGTTGCCAGGGGAACCTTGTGGAGACATAGCTAGCCACCCCTACCCGTATCCCTACGTCTAGACTAGTGCAAGCCCAACTGAATTCGGACACTCACTGCATTGTACGACCGTTGTACGACAAATCCAACTCTGCTATGTGTGAGGGCGCTAGATGACACGTTGCCATCTGCTAATTAGAATCGTGTCAGCCGACAACTGTCACATGCATTAAGTGCCTGACTTCACACTCCAGAGTCAAGATGATATGTGAGGTCTCACTACAAAATGAGTCTCATCGTTAGAAAATCAAAAAATGAGTTTATATTACATTTTGGTTGATCACATTATCTTTAATTTGGTCTTTGAATGGCTTCCCTAGGATAAATAGATCCAGAGATGTTAGCATTTAAATCTTAGGTGTATGGGAACCAGGTTTTGAGAAAATCAGCCTCAAAGATAAACTAACCTGTACAAATAATAGGACTAGGATTACAGAATATGCGAAGAGAACACTGTTTTAGTAAGAAAATTCACTTAAAAAGTACACAATCATAAAATATAAGTATCAACTTATTCAAAAACATTAAAATCAAAATTTTGTAAAAATGTTGCCTTTGACCTATTTTGGTGAATATCTGAATATGATTTCACCAATGATGCGTCTCATTTCGTGGTGAGACCTCACATATAGTGGCATACATTTTAACAAAATAATCTACTTATTGGAGGGGGACATCTCTACATCTGTCACTGAATTTGCAACCTGCATGAAAGGAGTTTGTTTTGTTTTTCTAGCTGATAGACATGATTGGCAGTGTTAAGGAAAATGTATTATGATGTATGGCATCTTATATTAATTGAATTTGAATAATTTTCTTTTTTTAATCTGAGTGTATTTTAACTTGGAAACCAAGAAAAGTCCCCATAAAGTCTTATGGTGGAATGAATTCATTTACAATAACTATGTTTTTTTTTCAGAACTAAGCTTCATAATAAACAAAAAATGTATATTAATAATTGAATAAAAAGTATAGCTGCGTTATTCTGATACAGTATAGAACAATATAAAGTAACTAACAGCAGCACTTTTGAGACTAACAATATAGAATTAATTCTATATATAGTCTCAAAAGTGCTGCTGTTATTTATTTTATATTGTTCTATATTAATAATTGTTTCGCCTTTTGTAGTATAGGCATTTAAATCTATTATATTTTCATAACTGTTTTTGGAAAGGACTTTGGAAAGAAGTAAAGTCTGGTAGTGCAAAGCAGTCTCTTGTGACCCGTATCGATTGCATGCAGATTGCTATTGTCAGGTGGGTAATTGTTCCGTTTCTAGGCCAGGCACATTCCTTGACAACGTCGTAGCTACTTGACATTTTATAAGTATTGTTTTTGTTCCGAAATTCTTTCCTTCTTATCCTATTTTCCTATGTTTTTGCACTGAGTTTTTCTGATTGTCACGTACTAAGATCTTCTTCATACTGTACTTTGTCCAAGCTACTTAAACTATACTGAGTTTGTCTTTTTTCAGTTTTCTAATTAGGCTTACTACCTATTTTTTCTGCTTTTCATATTTAGGCAACTTGAGCGTCTACAGTTGGAGAATCCTCGAAAGCGTGTTGGTCTGGTGGCCTTCAACAACACAGTTATAATCTATGGTGATGCCAATTCACATGCGAGCTTCACCCAGCGCAATGTTGATGCACTATCTGTACAGCAACTTCAACAACTGGGAAAGACTTTGATGACAGAATACAAAGACATTGATAATTCTTTGAGGTATTTGATATGTTTTTAGACCATGTAACATAGCCATGGGTTCAATTCTTGTAATGGTAATAGGATTTTTGTTTTCACAACCAGAAAAAACTCCATTCCCTAACACTCATATTAAGATCTTGTTTATGTAGAGCATTTCATTTCTCTTTTCACTTAGTAAAAGGATTACGTTAGCTATTTGCATATCCTTGGCCTTGATCATGAAAATTAAATAAAATAATTATGTATAAATAAGGCTTAAAAAAAAAATGATATGCTGTCACATATTTAAGTAAAGGGCGGACGAAAAAAGTTTTTTTTTTTTTTTTTTTTTTTAAGTACCAAATTTAAGATTACCAAAACGGTCTGTATAGACGTTTGTAGAAGATGAGGGGTGTGATAAAAAAGTTTTTTTTTTTTTTTTTTATGAATGTAGAAACTGAATATATATGTATATATGTATAGGTCTCTTTGCAATTTGTGGCTAATTTTTTTGTGGTTTGGGATTAGAGTAAAACCAGTGGCGGCTCTAGGGTATATTTTCTGTGGGATGGGGGAGGGGGAGGGGCTAAGCTGTCTAACAGGAGGAACTTGAGCTTATAGGCCCAAGTTGGGGGAAGGGTTTTAGAGGGTGTTCCCCTTCCCAAATGAGATTTTTTTAAGGAGAGGAACTTTTGGATGGCCAGAAATTACATTCTCAGACTGACAGGCATGTGTTGGCTTAGCGTGGGCCTATTTTTATACTTTTTTTTAGTCTGACTGACCCATGACCTGTCCGGTGGGGGGGGGGTTTAAGCGCCTGCTGGGCCCCCCCCCCCCCTTGCTGGCGCTGCCACTGAGTAAGACACGTGATTAAAATAAAATACTACACTATGTAACTGGTCAAGCTCACCAGCATCATGTACTTATTAAATGTGTTAAAAAAGGTACAAATCACAACAACCGACATTGCATCACTTTGGTTGTAGTAGTACCAACCACGAGGAGAGAAAAGTTTACAGTTAACTAAGTGTGAGACGGTCGTAGAGGGCGTGCTATTTAACCGGCGGACGTGTAAAATCAATTGTGTTGAAAAAAAAATTCAATTTTTTTTTACTTTTATAAAAAGAATCTTTTAAAGAAAAAAAAAAACCCCTCCATCATTTTTCGGATTTTAGGGGCGTTGGATGATAGCAAACAAACAAGTTTTTTTTTTTAGGCCTAATGATAATGGCTTGGAAGTTACTATCTGACTCTGTCATGTTGTAGTGTAATAAAAAAAAATTTTCCTTTCAGATTGACTCTGAAAGGTAACTTTTTTCTGTTACATTAATAATTATTATTGTTGTTGTTGTTGCTGTTGTTGTTTACTGAAATATATATTATAATATTTATTAATGATCTTTCCTCAACAGTTCCTTGAAGTCAACTGTTGAAAACCTGAAAATAGCTGGATCGACAGCTCTTGGGCCCGCTTTGGCCATGTGTGTCGGCATGGTTTCCAAGATACCCGGTTCTGAAATTGTTCTTTGTACAGATGGTATTCCAAATGTAGGAGTTGGTTCATTGCAGCGCAACCAAAAAACTAATTTCTATAGCGAGGTAATATCATAAATATTAGTTTTTAATTCAAATTAATTTGAGGGTTTGGCCAAGAGGTAATGCTCATTCTTCATGCTCTGGAGGTGCTAGTTTAACTCAAGCAGCCTCTGATTTTAATGTGAAGTCTGTTCCCTCAACTCCTCGAATACCTGGCAATAGGCGGGCTAAGGGACAATGCATCTGTTGTTACTGGCACTGCACCGTTGCTGCTGTGGTCTCATTTTATTAACAGGGGTTCAGCACCCTGCACATCACAGGGAGAAGGGTCATCCCTAGATCCCAATAGTACCTCTATCATACAGTATGTTAGCGCACGTCTGCCCTGGTATGGAGCATTTTCATTGATGTGGAAAACTTAGGGAAGTTTAGCTTCTTTATGGCAATGTTTATAGTAGGGATTCCTTGATGCTGTATGAGTAAAGTTGACACATAACATGATCGCCTAACTATTTAAAAATTTAAAAAATAATCTACTGTGATTGTAGACATCTGTAACCAGTCATTTATTCAATGTATTTCTGTAAACATGATTGCCTAACTATTTAAAAATTTAAAAAATAATCTTACTGTGATTGTAGACATCTGTAACCAGTCATTTATTCGATGTATTTCTGTAAACTTAGATTGGAAATATCGCTCAGCAGCAGCAGACCAAAATCTCTATCATTGGAATTGAGGTTAAGGATAGTCAGAATGAGATGGAAACTGTTAGTGAGGCTGCTGCCATTTCAGGAGGTGTCACCAACATCTTGCACTCCACAGAATTGACCAGGCAGCTACGAGAAATTGCACAAAATGTGATAATAGCAACTGATGTTGAAGTGACTATGATCATTCATCGTGGTCTTGAATTTGTGGATGAAGAATCAAATGGAAAGGTATGTTGATGATGAACTACAGAAAATTTCCGAAAATAATTTTTTCCCAAGGGAATATAACTGGGTGGGTCTGTTGTTCTGCTTGCTTCTGTTCTCACTGCAATTTGGGAAATAAGTACATTTGTAATTACCATAATAGTTTGCTGCTTGTAAGTTTAGGTTAATCATTAAGCTTTAATTATTTATTTATTTTAGCTCTATAGTTAAATTCAAAATTATGAAATGATATTAAGAATACAGAGCCTGTTGATTTTAATATACATATTTAATTTAGTTCAGTTTAGTACAACTTTTTTTAGATTTACATCATCATCATTTCATTATCATAATAATCATGTTAGCATTATTAAGATCTCATAGATCTCTTCCCGTTGGAGTCCTCCACTGGTGCCACCCCTGATCTCATAATGATAATCATAGTTACGATCTTCTTAATCATTACCACCACTATCATCATGACATCTCACCATCATCATGGTAATCATTTTTTTTCATTCGCAGCTAGTTTTTCTGTGAGACGTGTTAATTTTTCTCGAACCGCCATTTAACATCCAGTGTACAGATATGTATAGATATTGTGCTCTAACCTACCCAAGTCTTCTTTCATTGTTGAGATCAACTGCTATACTAACGTCTATTTTAAACAAATTATTGTTTGTCTGTTAGGATGTGAGCAAAATACACCAAAAGATTGGCTGTGTAACCAGTAATACTAACTTGACGTTCAGTTTTAGAGTTCGACCAAACCATGACAAATTCGATGTGACAAAGTTGCCGTTTCAGGTAATAAGAAATTAGTTTGTCAAGTCTCTAAATCATAATTCAGATAATATAGAATAATTATTTTATTATTTTTATTTGATTTCGGATCATACTCTGGTTGGTTCTATCTCACATATGACCCAAAAAGTTTTGTCTTGGAGTTGCAGTTTTTGTCTGTAACCCAATGTTTAAGGCTTAGTGTACCAACTGGGATCACTTTAAGTTTGATCTGATGATTTCAAAATATATAATAATTCCAACACACTGTAAATGTGGCAGCACAGACATGTACCTTACTTATTACATATTTTAATGCACAGGTACCATTTTGAATTAAATATTTTATATGTTATATTTTATATTTGCTTGTCATTTATTGCATTGTATTTTATGACCCTGAAAATGAGAAATTGACCTTTCATCTTTTATGACATCATTACCAATATTTTTGGTGATATAACAAAAACGTAGTAGTGCATCCTCAGGAATGCATGTTTTATGGATTTAGGGTAAGATGTGGCTATATTCAACCCCCTCCACCTTCTTACTATAAATAGAATTACCTTTTTTAGGAAAACAGTTTTCTTCCCAAGTCCGAAACCTGTTCAAATTTTTTTGGTGGCATTTTAGGTCCATATCAACAGTTTCCAACAAAAATCGCTTTGTAGAGAATTTTTTTGCCACTTTGGCACTCCATTTGCCTAGAGAGAATCATGTGTATATAGGTTTGTCATGTGAAGGGATTGCCAGCAATTCAGTAGGACAGTGAGTAAGTCACTTGGTAATTCTAGGGCCAAAAGGAAGGAATTAAAAAATAAATAAATAAAATGCAGTGCAAAAACGAACATTGTTACACTTTTCCTTAATTTCTGAACATTAAAATGCAACAGATTAACCTACAGATTTTTTAAAACCATTTTCAATGATGCCAATAAATTATTGTTTTAGACTCAAGTGAAGTACACTAAAAAAGATGGAAGACGGATGATGCGTGTCATTAGTGATGAACGTGACACCACCACTCAAACTAAAGTTTTTGAAGAGGTATCTTTCATATTATTATTGTTGTTTTTTTAACATTTAAGGTTAAGATGTGAGTTATTTTTCATGAAAAAATAAACTTTTTATATTTACATTAACATGATGACAATATATCCAAAAATTAAAGGAATAATGTATTCATATTCAACATGGATGCCATGTTGTTTCAAATGCTTTTTCGTTCCTAACAAAAATACTAATACTACTGCTACTAATAAAATAAACTACATTTTTATTAAACATTGTCTTTATCACAGAATTTAAAAGAAAGTTCTTTAAATCTTAGATAATCCACTCAAAATATGATGACGTTATGATATTTATAAGGATGACAGAACAATTAAATGTAAAATTTCACTTAAAAATACAAAAGAAACTATTCATGAATCATGTTGTTTGTTACAACAGTAAACAAAAGCTTAACTTATGACCTGGGATTCCAATTTTAGACGCAAAAGTTTTTTTATGGATTACAGAAAATACTCCCTTGTAACATTAGTAGTGTATACTGAAGATAACACAGTTTGTCATTCAATTGTGAGGTGAAGAATTTTCTGTGCCTACCGATAATCAGCCATTGTTTTCCACAACGTTGTTATTTAGGAGTATTTTGTCTTTTAATTTATAATATACAATATACATTGTATACATATAATAAAATACCAATACTGTATTTTATATTTCTACCCAGAATGTTAACCCTGCTGTTGCTGGGGTTGCAGCCCTTCAAATATCAGCTGATTTGGCTGTCAAGAATAAACGTTGTCTAGCAAAAGATCGCATGTAAGTTTGTTGTCAAATTCATACAACAATTATAAATTCATTTTTATTTATGTCCTACTTAAAGCATAAATATTTTAATCATTACTTATTTTATCTATGTACTAAAGGCGAAAGACAGATATGTTGTTTTTGAAGCATTCAAGATTAAAGGGTGATTATGAAGAAATTAGCAACTATTCAAAAAAGAGATCAGATTTGCTGGAAAAATTGGAACGGTCTCCAGTAAGTAATGATGTTGATATGAAATGATACTATTCAATATTTATACACTACACATTTTCAGACATACATTGCTGCAGTTAAGCTAAGCTCCCTTTGATCAGGCAAAGCCTCTATTGGTCATGATTTATCAAACCAAAAAATGGAGTAAAAAAAATGTTATTTATTTGAAAATATTTTTGGGCATAAACTTTCTTTAACAACTAAAATTGGCCCAAATTTTGGCCAGTTTCTTTAGGCACTAGGGTCTTAGCTCCCTGAACCCACACCAGGGCTTTAGCAATGGATCATGAACAGGGGCTTGGAGCCCCACTTGCCTTCACCACACTCTTAGTTGGACAGAGATCAGATCCTTGATGCATGTGCAGGAAGCACTGTTGTACAGGAATTAGAATACTACTCAAAATATTTCAATATTTCTATTTAAGTATATTTATTTTTATAGTTCGATCAAACACCCTTTCCTCAAACCTCCTCTAATAAACCAAACCCCTACATTTTTTTCTTAAATGAAAACAATCAAAGTGGTGATTAAGATTTTTGAACGTCAAAAAAGCACCTCCCCTGAAGAGACCCCCCTCCTTTTAAGGACTCTTAGTTATGGGCCTCTTCGAGACAACTACAGTAATGTGATCTATATAATATTACACTGTCGACATTGTCATTCACATTAATCGTGGCATATTTACAAGGATAAATAATCTTCTGGAAGATTACTGTATCATAGCCAATAGTTGTATAACATTCTGAGCATTTACCTCATTAAATTATGATTTCTTTTTACAGTATGAGATTCGGAGCAAATCGTATGCTGTGCCGGATATGGTAAACAGCTCAGCTAAGCTTGGTTTTGCACGCAAGAAAATCGCCTCCAAGGCCGTACAAAAACAATATTATGACTACAAGTCATAAGTCATAAATTTCCTGTCACATTGCCTGTTGAGTTTTGTTAGTAAAGGCTATGTGACTTTTTTTTTTAGAAATGTATGTTCACTTACATGCTATCATATATATATTATTATATAGTAAAAGTATCAGTGGTGTATGGAGGGGGTAACAGGCCCCAGTTCAAGATCATTTCTGTGCCCTTTAGTGTACAGCCCGCGAAACGGATACGTAGTTTCTTTCTGATCATCTCGCAAATTATTTCACGAGTCTCTGATAGAATGTAATATAACCAACAGTAGGACAATCATCCACCTACTTGCAATGAAGTAAATCTAAAAACGTATTTATGAAGTATGATCACCTGATGTAGTTCAAAACATGCACAATATAGTTGAACCAACAAAAAACCAACCAACCAACAAAGTATCAAAACTTTGCTTGCCGATATGTTAATTGCTTTAAAAATATGCTTTTAAAAAGTATTGTGTATCGTACCATGATACAAATCATACATAATTACAGTACCTGAATGAAAGAAAATAACCTTGAATGAATACAAAAGATACGAATCTGGTTTTGTTTTTTTTTGTAAACAAGTTAAAATGTCAGCCTACTTCTTTGGTGGCACGTAAATAGTAAATTGTTTTAAAATGAGTTTTTTTTTTTTTATTTAAGGAGGAATTTTAAAAATTATATTTTTTAGATCTATAGACCTATTGAACAAGCCTCAATAGCCCCAGGCCCCAGTGTTTTGTACTGGTTGCACTGCCCATACCTACACCACTGAAAAGTATATATATTATGAAATAATATTTTAAACTTGTTTTTATTACTAACTGTAATTACAGGGTATCAAGTGTGTCATAGGAGAAATGATATGTACTGTATATGCACAGTAAACCTCCTTAATAAAACATTTTTGTTGTAGGACACATAGCCATTTGCTGCCCACATTACAATTTGAATGTTGTTGGTTAAGGCAATATATGACTTGGCTTACAGATATTTGCTCATGTACCTATATGTTCTTTATGATAATTATAAAAATATATATGTTGTTAAGAAATACTATTGAAAATATATTTTACAATCCTTTTGCAATTACAATCTGGAAGTGTGTCATAGAAGAAGTGATATTTTGTATAACTATATGACTTCCAGTAATGTACCTGATAAACATAATTGTAATTATATGTATTGTATAGTCTACAACTCAAACTAATCAGAAATATTTAGTGCAAATATGTTATTACAGTAAGTAGCAAAGGAATACTTTAGAAGTAATTGTAAGTACGTGCCTCCAATTTATTTTATTTTTTCTTTTTAATTTCTCTTAATTTTCATAGGGGAAATGATATGTATATGCACAGTAAACTTCCTTAATGAAACATTATTGTTGTAGGACACATAGCCATTTGCTGCCCACATTACAATTTGAATGTTGTTGGTTGAGGCAATATGTGACTTGGTTTACAGATATTTGCTCATGTACCTATATGTTCTTTATGATCATTTTAAAAATATATATGTTGTTAAGAAATACTATTGAAAATATATTTTACAATCTTTTTGCAATTACACTCTGGAAGTGCCAAAACTAAATTGGACCAATCAATTTGGCACAAATCTGACCCTGAATAATATCAAAGAAGTGTGGTATTAACAATATTGAATTTTTGTTATTGTGATTTATGCCCCTATTTCTCAGCCTTTTTAGCTGGTGACCATCCTAAATTCATTTATTACGCTGTGGTGCAGGTGTACTGTTGGGCTTTCCTGATTGTGAATACGTCCACATGCTTAGGGTTTAAGAATGGCTCTGCTAGATGCCAGAAATATTGAGTAGACATTTTGTTTCTTAGGTTGGCCTTAAATTTAAATAGTTTAACTTTTAACGTGGCCAGACCTTTCACGGACAGACATTTGGCCAACGATGCGATTGCACCCCCTCCCCTATTCCAAATTGTGTTAAGAAACTTTTTTCTATTGTATTTGTTGATATGTATATAGTACCTGTACAATTTTTTAAGGTGTGTGAGTGCAATTTCCGGGCACATAGAGACCAATATTCTCAAAATGTTCGCACCTCAGCCCATCCATCGCGGGCCTGAGGTCGTGTGGACTCTCACGCACGCCCTACCACCAAATCCTGCATTTGCCCCAGCTGATAAAATTCTACTGTTAAAGCAATGTTTCACTACATATTACTTGTAGGTCTACGTGCGTTAATACCGTAAAGCCTCGAATTGAAGCCCTTGCATCTATTTTTGCGAACTTTGTTAAATTTATTTTGTTTTTTGAAATTCATGTTCAGTGTATACTTTCTCGAACAAAAGTATAGTATGCTATCTTATTAAAAAGAAGCCCATGGGCTGTTTTCGAGGCTAATTTTACAAACTAAAGAGGGAGCTTCAATTCAAGTCCATTATTTAACTTCAAATCGAGGTTTTACGGTATTTATGAAATCCCATGGTAACAATTATAGTAATGATAAAGTATGAATGGTTAATTGATATTTAGTACAAGTCAAGACCAGAGAACAGTTAAATTACAAGTAATTTAACTGTTCCCTGGTATGACTGAGTGGTATAATAGAATAGTGTGCGTTTCCAACTATAACACAAAACTGTGATAAACAGAATTGAGGCAGTGACAAGTGGAAAATTTGTGGTTAAATTATAGATACATTCTGGATATATTTTGTACTTGAAGCAATGAAACATGACACACTTTTTTATGGGTGGTATAACACACTTTTTTTTATGAGTGGTATAATAGAATAGTGTGTGTTTCCTACTACAAACACAAAATGGTGATAAACAGAATTGAGGCAAGTGGAAAATTTGTAGTTAAATTTAGATACACTCTAGATATATTTTGTACTTGAAGCAATGAAACATGAAAAAAAAATTTTTTTAATAGGAAATGTCGTTTTTTAATTATATGCATGTAAATCTTCCAAGTCTTCTCAGAAATAAATCGGTAAATGGTTTGATAATTATATATCGTGATCTATTGTGTCTCTTATAAATAATGTTCGGACTCGACCCTGTCACAATGAGCCTCTCTGAAGCTATCTGAGAGGATGTTTCGTCGACGGACAGCTTGCTGAGGTTTCATCGACAGTGTCCATTTTAATTAAAATATGCTCGTTTATATTTATAATATAAATACATTAATATTTCGTCTACACCTATCTAATGCATCCCTGGTTGATATAATTCAGCCCAAAGTTGGCCTACCTAAACAGAAACAGTAACAGCAAAACTGTAAGCGAACCCTTATGTTAAGCTAAACCAGAACTCAATAACATTAATTTCTTCCGCAAGGCTTCGTTGTATACATTAAAGATTATTTCAGTGAATGGTATTGCATTAAATCATTAAAGCAGGCCTAACTAGGCTTTAAAACTTATGAGCACGTTAAAATATCTATTCTTCGCACAAGTAGGCCTGTATAATCCAATTTAAAATAATCAATTGAAGTATTTCAAACCATTACTGCTTCTATGATATGATTAAGAGCTAATCAGATTTATGTAAATAACGAAAATTAGCGTAATTATAAACTATGAAATCATAAAATATCATGACTGGTATTAAGACCTAATTTTATTTGGGAAAATCCAGTGATGGCGCCAGAACCTGCCCGACGGAGGGGCTAAAGGCCCCGACGGGGGGGGGGGCTAGTGGAGCGAATCGAGTCTCACTTGGCTGGGGGCCAGGGGGCCACCTAGGGCCCCCGGTGGGGGTCCAGGCACCCCCCTTGAAGCCACGGATATTTGACGAATTATGGCGAATTTTTATAACTTATTTGATAGGCATCGAGCTAGGCCTACTATAATATGACTTTATGTAGGCTATGTTTTCTAATGTCGAAATCAGCTTCCAAAACCAAAACATTTTGAATAAAACAAAACAAAGAGTATGCAATGTAACCATCTAATTTATTTTCAAATCCTCATTCTTGAAAGTGAAATTCTACATTTTGGAAATTTTGCATTTGTCAACGCTATCAGGGTCGATGTTGCTTCCCCTATCACGATGTATTCAAAGCATCATGAGGTTATGCAAACGAGCATTTGTCATAACAGAACGCAAATTATTTTTAATTAGTCTCATTGAACTATTATTATTATTATTATTATTAATTATAATAATAATAATAATATTATTATTATTATTATTATTATTATTATTATTATTATTATTGTGATGAAAAGTAAACAAAAATAGTTTAATGAAAGTAAATATTTTTATTTTTTATTTTTTTATTTGTTTAGTCCCCGACAAAATGTACTCGTCCTCCCCGACGGGGGGGGGGGCTATAGCCCCCCCCCCCGGGGGCTATAGGGCTATATATAATGGTTTACAGATTATAGGCAACGGCACCCAAATACACAATATTGTCATACAAAGACGAATTTCGGACACAGTCCTTGCGACGTGCATTCGTATTGCATCTCGTTGGTGACTATGTTCTGAAGGCTGATTTTTCAGATTGTCATACCGGTACTCTGTTGTTTAACCAAGCCTTACATTCACCCATTTTCTCGCATCTCCAATAACTGGTTGCATCTCTCTGCTTATCAGGGATATGAATATCCTTCATATAAAAGTCTGCGACCGCCTCGTTCGGTTGAGGCAAACTCCATGATGAATGAACGAATAGACATATGATAAAATTTTCTGGCCGCTCAGTTTTTACGTACCGCATAACGGACTGATGGTTCATGGAAAACAAGCCCCAATATTTTCACATGCTTTCACCTTGTCGGCGAAAGTTTGTTGGCAAACACAGACGTGCAAGCGAACGTTTGAACGCTTCTTGAAATTAATGAAAAGAGAGGGAAAAAAATAATCCTAGCACCGCTTCCGCGTGAAACCAAGCTACGACGATGTCCCCGTTCTGGATCCGTCCCTGTTCAATGGGACTAATTAAAATGGTTTACGTTCTACTACTACGACAAATGCTCGTTTGGATATCCTCATGATGCTTGGAATAGGCCTATATCTTGATCGGGGAAGCAACCTTTTGGTTTACGGATTTCAGCCAAAATAACTAATACAAATTCACCAAAATTCGTCAAATATCCGTAGCCCCCTGGTGGCCCACAGGCAGCTGGTCCCCCAGCCATGTGAGGCTCACATCGTTCGCCTAGCCCCACCCCACCCCTGTCTGGCAGATCCTGGCGCCATCACTGGGAACAAATAAAATTAGGTTATTTCTGTTACTAAGTTTTATGAAAAAAGAATTAAGATCGTTAATAAATAAAACTACTAAATTAATAAGTGATGTATATACTGTTACTATATCTTTAGCAGTTTGTATTTTTCGTCAAATAAGTTTGGGTAATCCCTTGCTAAACAAAAAAAAAAAAATAATAAGAAGAAGAATAAAAAGATGGAAAGGGAGACGTAGGAGAATAATAACTTAATGATAAATTTCATTATGTTTGCTGATACTTTCTTTGCTCAGTCACTATTAAAAAAAAAAAAACTCTTCATCAAAATATTCGAAATCCTATTCTGTCATTTATTAAGGAATGCTTTTGTCAGTATACATGTCGCTTTATTTTTGTTTTGTTTTACATAATAAATGCTTTTAACTACAACCTCCCAACTCATAGACAGTTCATTGCTTAATTAAGTCAGAACAAACCTACCCCCACCCCCGGCCAAGTAATAACGTTTCAGACAGTATTTATGTGACTCTTATACACATCTAGATGTGTATAAGAGACAGTATAATGTTTAACTGTCTACTTCCAGACACCCTCTCCGGAAAGCAATGACAATTCTCCCCACAGTTCACTACTGTATTCCATTCACAGGATGTCTTCCTGGCACTGTTATGCTTATTATCTTCAAATTCTGTATCATAGTGGCCTTCTATTCATCCAAAACTCAGGCTATCTTTCTTTTATCCGAGCTTATTAGCTCCATAAAATTTACTAATTCTGAATTATAGCTGCCTTGAGTATTGTACACTCACTCACCAAGTGTTGCAAGGTTTCTCCCTATAATTAGCAGGTAACTTGGAAAAGATACCATCCAAATAATGCAAATGACGTGTATATCGCAGCCACTGGCTGTTCATTGAAATAATACATCCAGGCCTACTCAGTTGTATCATTATCAAACAACAGGCAAACAATTTGTTCTTATCTCACCCGCAATGTCCGTAGGCTAACATAGTGTAGGCATAGAATCTGATATTGCTTTATCTCCAAATGCTACTCTCGAAAACCCCCTTCATCCAGTTCTAGCCAACACCCCACCAAAAATTCATATGTTATTGCTATTCATGTAATCTAAACTCATTTGAATTACCTCATTGATATTAATTTCTCATTCAGCCAATCAGGGAACAGTTAAATTACATTAATGTAATTTCACTGTTCCCTGAGCCAATCAGTAACTCACACACAAGCATCTCAAAACAATAGCTTACTTTATTACCATATTAGACTGGAGTCAACACAATAATTAATAAACTAAAATAGATGTCACTTTTCACAGTTATACTACAAAGTAGTATAAAATATAACTCCACCTCAACTGTAATTATCACCATATGGTCGGATTCCCCACCCCTACCTCGAAAAGAGAGAGAGAGAGAGAGAGGGGGAGAGAGAGGAGGAGGGAGAGATAGAAGGGGTGGGGTGGAGAGAAAGCTAGAATAAAAGAAAAGAAAGGAGAAAGGAAAGAAATCTAATATTCGGCTTAAATTCGTGTCTATGTTCAAGCATTTCTAAATAAAAATGTCAAACACCATGCAGCACACCCTTCCACCCCCGCTCAGTGGTTTGCAATTCGTTCCCAACCACTGGACCATCCAAACATTCTTATAAGATTGCTTTAATCCAGGTAATTCAACAAAAGGACGCACATCTCTCGGGACATCAAAGGTTATAACTCTGGCATCGACATTCTAGGCGCACGTGCGTCCCTACACGCTGAACGTCACAAAAACCATAGCAACCAGACCATAAACCGTCAGACTAATAATTGACGGCTGTACTCGCAACTAGTATCGGATTGTCGATGCCACAGTAAAGATCAAAGGACTGTACGCACGCGGTATGTTCGAGAGCGGAGATGTGCGTCCTTTTGTTGAATTACCTTGCTTTAATCAATCCCATGAGTCTTTGTTTGAATCTAACGCGTACTGTGGACCGGGTGAATATTCTATGATGTGTGTTCTATGGTTCTACCACTTTGGTTCTACGCGTATAGCGCGGAAATGGCTGCACGTCATAAAAACACATAGTAGCAAAGAGTATACACAGGCGTGACGTTTTTACGAACGGGACTTTGTTCTCTTGTTCTATTTATACTCTTTGATAGTAGCAACTAACAAACAAACCAAACAGAGACTTGATGCTCGTAGTTGGTTATATTTTCACTGCTCAAAAATTCACTAATTTTACCAGTCAGAATCGTTTTTAATACAATCTCTACTACTAAACAAGTGTAGTATTGAAAGACAAACATGTCGAGATCAAACGCAAGGTAGATTTAATACTAATTATACTTTAATAATGACTTAAAAAGATGACAATATTCTAGGCCCACCAGACGGCTGCTTTTTGCAAGTAAGGTGGGCCTAGGTTGTCAAGATTCCTGCGCGGCAACTGTGGTCGCCCATCACATGCCTCTCTTTAGTCTTAGGTCAAGGTACAAGTTTCCAAATATCTCATAATATTGACTCACAAAAATCATTATTAAATAATTCATTTATTGACATACATACATGTTGTATGACCATCTTTACTGTTTGTTCAAGGCCAAGACACTTTATAAACCATTATTTACATTTCTATTTTGCCAATTTGTCTGATGTATGTATTGTAATAATTAAAATTATTAATAAATATTTATAATGTTTTAAAGATTTTTATTAATGTATTGCCATTAGTATTCATGTATCCTCATTATTATCATGATAGTGTATTATAATAATAATTATTAATAATTAATAATCATTATCACTGTCATTATTACTGTATTACAGGATTTTATTGTTAATTAATATTATTGTTATATTTTTCATTATTGTTTTTTTTTTATTGCTATTACTGTATATTGACAACATTTTATTTTTTTTTAAACAGATCTAGACAAGATAGAGAGTCGCAGCAACAACAACGAAAACCAGGCGACGATCATTTTTAAATCGCATGTGGCAAACAGTCATTCGTTTGCTGTGTATTCGAGGAAACAACGAAACAACAGAGGCCGCGGATAATAATCGGCAGACGGCAAATGTCGATAAAAGGGCTGAGAACAATACCAGTACTCAACCCAAGGTTACATCAGGTCCTAACCAACTTGTTACTGGAAAGCAGACTAATTCTATTATATTATCATCTTGTTGTATTATTACAGCATTTTCTTATAGCCTTGAAGATAGTTTGGGACTGGAAAGAACTGATCAAAAAGGGAAGAAGATTAGTTCATCATCGTCTTCTGTAGCAGGAGCTTCAATATCAACAACTTCAGTATCATCACCATCACCACCACTAGAAACGCAACTACTATCTTCGTCGTCATCGTCATTATCCTCCTCATCATCATCAGCATCATCAGCATCATCATCATCATCATCATCATCATTACTCTCGTCATCTGATCCAAATAGGAGCCACTGTTACTCATCTTCATATTCACCTGGCCAAATCATATTCATACCAGTAAGTTCATCACTATCATTGTCGCCTGGTGAGGTGATTTTACCGATGGTAAACATCAGTTGTTCCCCATCGTCACCGCCATCGTCGTCATCATCTTCTAGCAGCTCCTCTAAATGTTCGAGTCCCGGTGAAATCACTACCGCACTACCTGTTGGCAAACTGGATGCAACAGCACAACGTCTTAACTCAATGCTTCCCCCAATTAGGCTACTAGACTCGTCAAGCGTCTCTCTTCTTGCAACCCCAGTCGAACTTGGACGTGGAAGCTTTGGACGTGTTGACCTGATGACATCTAATATCCTTGGGTACCATCACCTGGTTGCTGTAAAGACAGCATCCATGAAGAACTACAAAGAGGATGCTTGGAACCAGATGTGCCTGGAGGCAAGAGTGATGGAATTCTTGTCAGGTTTGCCATCATTCCCTGAAGTCTACGGTGTATTTCGCGAAGGTAACGAATGCAGAATGGTACAAGAATTTGTTGGCAACAGTCAAACCCACACCAGTACTACCTTTTTTGATGTGATGAAAACCGGACGTCCGACGTTAACTGGACTTGAATGCATCATTATGACATCCGAGGTCGCAAAGGGCCTCAATGAGATGCACACACGAGGACTTTTACATAATGACGTGGCAGCTAGAAACATCTTAATTTGCAACAATGGCATACGCTTCACAGCAAAACTAACAGACTTTGGGATGGTGAGCAGCATTCAAAAGCCAAGACACAACGACAAAATGACCTTCAAATCAGAAGCTGAAAGGGATCATTACATACTTACACATCCCGAGATTGCCATCGAGAAAATCCTACACGGTGCCAGTGACTCAGTGCAGACTGATATCTTTTCACTGGGGTACGGCATTAAAGTGTTGGGAACTGCTATTGGAAACATCCACATGTCAGCCATCGGAGACGCGTGCATCCGGGTCAATGCAGACGAACGACCACCTCTTGACTACGTCATCAGCACCCTGGACCTCCTGGCAGACTGTGAAAGGGTAACTCCTGTTTGCCGGTCTGTTGATAGACCTTTGTTTTAAGCTGCAAGGTATGCTGATATGGATACTGAAAAAAAAAAAAAAAAAAAAATTATGAAAAAAAAAAAAAAAAAAAAAATGCAAAAGCTACGGTAAGGGTCAGTTCATAAATCATGTAATGGGTAAGTTTTCCACAACTTGTTTATACCTTAAAAATTTTGTAACTACAGTATCATGCTTGTTTCGGTGAGATTTTTAGTTCAATAAAATAGGTAAGTGTTTTACAAATTGTTTATGCTCTCAAAATATATTGTCATGCTTGTTTTTTTTTTGATAATTTGTATTTTCGATTACACTGAGATTTCAAACCAAATGTTTCCATACTTCATTTTATAGATGTGCATATATATATAATCAAACGCCGGGATGGTTTTCCTTTACAATTTTTTGTTTTGTATTGAATAACTTTCATTGGACATCGCTACGACTTCATCAGCGTTATACTGGAAGAGCCAATCATTTGAAATATTGTTAACAAAAAAGACACAATTAAGAATTTCCTACTCAAAAATGATATTGTACGTTATTAATAATTTTTTATTATTAATTATTATATTTAATTCTCAGCGTTCCAGTCCGATTCCACCTGCGAAATATTTCAACTTGCATAAGTGTATGGCTTACATCCTTTCCACAAATTACAGGTAAGAACTAACGTAAACATATTGTTTGTTCTCAACACTAGCCTCACAATATTTATCGTGTATGCTAAGCCATAAGTCAATGTATACGATATACAATCACAAAATACCATAACCTTAATAATCGATGCTGTAAAATCTCAAAGCATTATGATTATAAATATAATAGGCCTAATATAATGAATACAATGATCTGAAAGTCAACATTATTAGGAATGATTTATTCATATTTTGTTTGGCAATTTTTTATTTATTTATTTATTTATTTTTTTACAAAAATAACTGAACACTAAGTAGAAATCGATACTTTACGTTTTATGGCCTACGAAGACGTGCAAGTATTCGTCTTACAACTTTTCCAAAAATTTCCAACATTGTTATCAACAACTAGCCTACTAATAATTATTATAATAACGATTACAGGTCGATAAAGGAAATTTATTAATTTATTGTTTGGAAATCTATTTTTTTGTACAAAAATAACGGAGCACAAATGGGGAAATCGCTACCATTCGTCTTGCAATTGACTTTAGTGTGCAAGTATTCGTCCTACAATTTTCAACAAGTTACTGGTAGGTAGGTAGAAACATAACATCTAGGCCTATTGTTATCAAGCTACTTTATGTTTTTGCTATTGGTACACTACTGTATGTGTTGGATATTGGCATATTATTATATTGATTACAGATCTATAAAGTTTTCGAATATTTGACATTATTTGGAATGTTTTTAATTGAATATTTTGTTTTGAATTATTATTATAGAAAATCGCTACAGTTCGATATTGTGACCCAAAATGTGACATTATTAGGAATATTTAATTTATATTTTGTTTGGAAATTCATTTTTTTAAATACAAAAATAATGGAGCATCAAGTGGGAAATCGCTACCATGCGTGTTAGGACTTTATAATGCGTATGTGTAAGTATTCGCTTCAAAACTTTTCCACAAATTACAGGTAGAATCAACATTATTGTTTTCAACACTTAGCCTACTGTACGTGTTGGATATTGGCATACTATATAATATTATAATGATATTGAATACAGTTTTATAAAGTGGTCAAAATCTAACATTACTTGGATTGGTTCATTGGTATTTTGTTTGGAAATTGCTTTTTTTTTTTTTGCAAAAAATAACGGAGCACCAAGTGAGAAATCGCTATCATACTTGTGTTATAATGCCTTTAGTGTGCAAGTATTCGTTCTACAACTTTTCAACAAATTACAGATAGGAACCAACATAATGTATCTATGTTGTTATCAACACCGATCCTACTTAATTTTTTAATTTTTAGCACAATGAATATTAATATAATATTGATTTTGACTTTCTCCAGAATATTAAATTTTTTTTTTAAATATATATTTTTTTAAATACTAAAATATCGGAGCACCGTGGGAAATCGCTACCATATGTGTTAAACGGACATTTGATGTACAAGTATTCGTCCTACAGCTTTTCTACAAATTACAGGTAGGAACCAACATTTTGTATATTTATCAGTACTGACCTCACCAGTGAATACTATGTATGCATGTGTTGGATATTGGCATAAAAATTACCATGATACAGTTGCAGTAAACTTGCGAAGTATTCGATAAAAACTATGAAGAAAAAACACATAATAATATAAAGTGGTGTAATTGTCTCAAGCCGTCAAGTCGGTAAAAGTTACTTAGGTCTATACATTTTTTTTTAATGAATACGGTACTGGAGCAACAAGTGGGAAATCGTACTGCTGTATACGTGCTGCAGTGACTTTCATGTGTAAGTATATAATAATAAACTTGCATACGTGATTTAGGGGGTAAATGTACTCCTCTATTATTGTTATTATTATTATTATTCATTTATTTAAAAATTGAATCATTTATAATATCTTTGACTGTTTAATACAGAGGGTAGTCTATCCAATCAGTTTGGTTATTAAGAATACAGTATTAATAAATATACCTTATTTGTTCGGTGGATGCGGTTTGGCACAGTATAAATGGTTTGGGTTCCCAACCTTCGAGGCGGGGTTTCAATCCATCTCTGTGCATATTTCGCCTGTGTCCTTGACCAAGTCACTTTATCTACAAGTTGCTTTAGTCTACCCAGCTGTATCAATGTGTACCAGCAAATTTCTGGAAGCACCGTGTGGTTGACTATCGTCTCACATAGGGGAGTATGACAATCTCATCCGTTTCACGCTCTACAAAGAAACAGGGGATAAGGGTTCGGCAAGAATTTACTTTTACCTTATTTCCAAATTTTCTAACATCTTTTAAGTTCAAGCCTGAAACAAATTATCCGACCTGGAAGGCTTCATCTGTGATGACAATTAGGCCTATGATTTTTTATTGACTATAATAATATACCGGTAGTTAATAAGAGGCCTGTAGAACAAATGAAGAACCCGTGAATCGATCCCGGTACCTCTCGCATGCGAAGCGAGCGCTCTACCATTTCAGCTAGTCCCCCGTCACAGTTAAACTACACGGTGTAGCCAAATATTTTACATAAACAAGAGAGGGACTATGAAACAAAAAGAATGGAGGATCCGGGAATTATCCTGATAGCATGAAACGAGCGCTCTACCATTTGAGCTAGATCCACGCCTCAGTTACATAAATAAGAGAGGGACTATAAAATAAATTATATGAATACCCGGGCATTGATCCAGTAACCTCTTCACATCTTGCATGATAAGCGAACGCTCAACATTTGAACTAGTCCCCGTCTCAGTTAAAAAATACGAGGTGGCCAAATATTTTTGACAAAATTAAGAGATTCCTACAGAAAAAAAAATAATATGGAGAATCCGGGCATTGATCCCGGTATCTCTCGCATGCGAAGCGAACGTTCTACCATTTGAACTAATGCCCCTTCTCAACTTACCCAAACGGAGTTTGCAAATAATATATTTAACATAATTAAGAAAGAGACTATTAAAGAAAAAGTATAGAGAAAACGGCCATTGATCACGCCGTCTTAATTGGTAAATCCGGAGTGGCGAATCTTTTTTTGACAAAATGATAAGGGGCAGATTATTCAAATAAATACTGTAAATTAAAAGGCAAAATAGCAGAAAACAACGCTGTGGGAATTGAAAGCAGGGTTATCCTGGGGCGGATGCAGGATTTGGCGGTAATGGGGTGCGTGCAAACATTTAAGGAAATAGTACCTGAGATGGCCGGAAATGACACTCTTATATATAATAAAATTCATCATCACATCACCATTATATTTTCAAAAGTGATTTTCGGCAACCACAGAGATCTAATTGTGTAATGTACACATAAAACTTAAAAAACATTCTCTTTGATGTACTTACTTTACTCAAAACTGTGAGTCCACACGTCTCTCAGCTCCACCACAGTTGGAACTGAGGTGGTAAAATTTGGGGAAATTTTACCTCTAGATTGCCGGACATGACAGTCTTATCTCTCCTTATCTCTCACGCGCCCATGGGCGCAGATCATTGGTAAAATTCATCATCATCGATCTAATCAATCACTATGATGTACCATAGAAAATACTACTATGCCGAAACACAATCTTATCTTTGCACGTTTTTTTCTCAAATTATAATAAAGGCATTCGCACTCGGGTCGAGTATTATAGGTAATTCAGATGTTTATGGGCAGAGATACCGGCATCTTGCTATAAAATACGATGTACTTTGGCTGTACAGCGCTCTTTCGTTAAAACCTTTGTCATTTATGTCAACAATTTTGAGGGGACCAACCCTTCCCCCTTAAAAAATATGTGAGGAGACGTTTACAGGGGTGGTGCCATTGAGGTGGGGAAGGGGCGGGGGAGGCCTCCTCGTCGGGGAGAGCTGCTGCTCTTCCCACCCCTCCCCCCGGTCGGGGAGGAGAGCTGCTGCTCTCCCTCCTCCCTGTCGGGGAGAAAAACCACTATTCGTCCGGGAGAAAAAAAAAAGGTGACTGTATAGGTATTTTGTAGATATTAGTATACTCTAAAATCGACTAAATAAGCCTTTGAAACCCATAAATTGTCAAAATTTCGGGGGATTCGCTCCTAGACCATTTTCGAGGCATTTAAATCGAGGTTCGACCACGCCCACTTTGTTCTTGTCGGGGAAATTTCCCCCTCGTCGAGGACCTCCCCCGGTCGGGGACTTCGGACCCCCCCCCCCTTCGGGTATATCCCGGCTCTACCCCTGGACGTTTAACCTTTCCCCCATGATATGCGCCCATGGGCGCGTAAGAGTCCACCACCAGCCCTAACATGGTTGGGGCTGAGGTGCGAAAATTTTGAGAATATGGACCTCTGTGTGCCCGGAAATTGCACTCTCATGTTCCTTAAAAATCTTACCAATAATTCATATTAACAATATAATACAACAATTATTTTTCTTAATACAATTTAGGGGGGGTTGCGACGCCCTCCCCCCTTTATCCGCACTAGTTATCAGTTAAAATTTGAAATAAAATGAAATGGAATAAATTATTAAACATCGTATTACCCCACCACCACCCCACCCACAAGTCGTCCGATGCTACTACGACATTGTCCGGAAGCTTATGCTGTTAATGTTTCACTGTTTTTGATCTTGATTGACTTTGAGCAAACTGGGTTTCGGTAAACTGTGTTTAGGCAAACTGGGTTTCGGCAAATATGGGATTCATGGTTTTTGAGTCGGCAAACTGGCAATAAAAAAACTGGGTTTCGGCAAAGTGGACTCGGCAATCTGGCATTCGGCAAACTTGGTTTCGACAAACTGACCTAGATCTAAATCAGCCATTACGGTAAAAAATGAATAAGTAAGAGATCGTTGCTACTAGCAGACTCCATAATACTTTATATTTGATGATTGATAAAATACTCCATATTCAGCTTTCCCATTTAAAAATCCCCCACGGTGGGGCTGAGGTGGTATCCCCTCCATCTGTGAAACTCCCTCCTTGGCCCCCTCTTCAAATTCCTGGATCCGCCACTGAAAACCGTTTAATACATGCATCTTCAGAAATCGATTAAATAACCTCAAATTATCAAAAATGCCTGAGCTCCGCCCCTCGATCCCAGCATGATTTTCATCCTAGGCGTCCCCCGCCCCCAGAGCCATTTTGGTCCACTCTCTACAAATTCGCACCCACCCAATACAAATCCTGCGTACGGGCCTGAATGTGCACAATATAAGGTAAACAAATAAAGTGACACTTGATGAAAAGAATAATAATAATAATAACAACAACAACAATGTACCGGGTGCCTTGAGACAAACGCTTAAAAATAAGGTTGAGTGTTGTTATTTACGTCATCAGAATAGATAACGATCGTCTCACTTGCAAAATTCATCATTTCCCGTTAACCAAGCCTTCTACCAATATACTGTTTCCGTCACCATTTCCTATTAGCATACAAAAGTGAAGCTGATTCGACAAAGCTCAGTTTATAATACCACATTTTCTAACAGACAACTGTCACCATTCTATGAGTTTCTTTGTCATCAACAGTATATGATTTTAGAGAGGTTGACGGTTATGATCTAATGGCCTAAACAAATAAAAAAACAATAGGGTCTAATTGAATAATGATTATTTTAGTGCGCATTGCCTTCAGACAGTTGTTTGGCTGCTAACGTAATCTTATCGTCGAAACCATGGATGTTTGTAGGCCTACAGAGCAGCAAGACTATTCTGTCAAGACTCAAATTCGCGCAATGGAAATTCGATGCGCTCCACCTAAACCTATGCGCAAGACAAACACCATGACAACGAACGCTCACAATACCCATTATACTACTGAGACTCCTGGCTCGAAAATCGTATGGTCTGCAGATCAGAAAAGGGACTCTAAGAACAGCACAGATCCCGGGGTCAGATGTGCCCGGTACGTGGAAGCCAAGGATAATAATGTCAGGATAGAAACATCAAATCAGAATGATGATGGCGATTACAGTGATATCGATGATGGGGAGCGTGATAGTAACTACGAAGTACCAATGAACTATCATGCAACCTACATACCACCAAGAGACGGAAGGAAGGGTCGTCAGCGGGACAGAGGTAGTTTTATTGCCAGAAAAATGAAATGTGAAATTGATTTTAACAGCCAGACGATGGTTCGGATGTGCATTATATCTAGTGTATTACTGATACTGGTCATCATTTTATTTGTAATATATGCAGTTGTGACAAATAGGGGTAAGATTCATAACTACTTTTACCACCACAACCACTACCATCACCACATACATATGATGGGTTTTAGTATGACGGTGTTGTAATAGAGATTCTGTTAGAACGATCAAGTTAGAACTTGATAGCTATGTGTGTCTATAGGGAAATGGATTAATATGTATCAATAACAACATACGTACATCCGTTCTGAGACACTTGGAATATAAAACAATTTTACAACATTTCTTAATTTTCCCCTAATTACAGATATTTTAAGACCGCTTTATTGTCGGTCTAAAATAAGAGTGATTAGAGACAAAAGCTTCTAAAGACCAAACCACGGTCCCCTAAATGGTATTTAAAAATAAGGGGAGACCTGGACTATTACTACTACTACACCAAGAACTGTGAACTCTGTGAAATTTAAAAAAATATGTCTATTACAGTAAACTAAATAATATTGCGTTTTATTAAATACCATTTGTTGGGTGGAGAATTGTGGACAGTATCCAATTGTATCTAAATCTATTGCCTTCCTTGTCCTTTTCGCGATGTTATGAATGCAACTTTTCCATTGAGTGAACACATTTCATTCATGAATTTGGAAAAAAATATACAAAGTGATGATTATTTGTTACCGCAATTTTGGGCTGATGTAAACATTGAATTTCTAAAGAACTTGTATTTTGTAGGAACAACTATCATTATTGTTGTATTGTTTACACTACCATTGCGTAAAGGGACTGTGCAATGGCTGCTTCTGTGAACTGACAGGCTAGTATGTGGCTAGGCTGTAATGGATGTACTGGCCACAATTACCTACACCCGTAGGTAATTGTGGACACTTGACCACAGTGTAATTAATGCTTGTTATCTAATTAAATAATAATCTGATAACCTTGAATTATGCATGTAATTAAAGACCAATAATAGTTGTTGATAATCAGGTGTATAAATCATTTTTTTAATTTATGCAAATAAGCTTAAAGTTCCACAATCCCACCTTTACCTATGTCGATAATGCAAAATCCATTGAGAACTGCATAAAATGGGGTATATTTTACTTCAGTAGGGCTGTGATGAGCATGCTGTACATTGTGTTCAACGCAAAAGGCTGATCTCTAAGTGAAAGTCATTTTTTTTTGTATCGATGTTATGTCTTTTAGTATCTCTATTTCCCTTTGCATCGCGTTCACACAGATAGGAGCATTTCAATTTCAATTGAACGCATCCGGTCTTCCAACCGCAATTTGTATTATATTAGCTTTTGAAGAAGTATTAAATAACGTCATAAGCCTTCACGCCGTAGTAGAATGCAGCTCAACAATATGACACGCCGTAGTAGAATGCAGTATAATACATCGGTCTGTTACTTGATGAGGAAGAGACTCTCTCGTAATTTTAATTTGAAAAATAATATTTTACAAACAGTAAGCGATTGTAGATTGTTTTTATAGTGATTGGGAGGGGAGTGGTCTAAATTTACTATCTATATTTACCCGCCAAACCTATGCGCCTAGAAAGAGTAAGATTTTATTAGGTCACACCAATACATAAAGTTGACCATACGTTTAGGGTGCATAATGTTTGAATTAAAAAACATTAAAAATTAAAAAATGTCAGTTTTTATTGATTTTCACGAAAGGGGTTTTAATGAAAATATTTCTAAAAATAGTGAAAATTAAAAAGAAAACATAGGTTGAAATATGAAAACTAAGTAGTTTTCATTATATTAAAATACCATTATGTTTTATGTGCTGTATATTTTGATGATGATGACAATTATTTAGTGATGATATTGAGTGGGAATAATGTAAGTAAAGCCTGGCTAGGCCTATAGGACCTGGAGAACACCAAAGGCTCCCCTTGCTAACTGATAGTGACCGTTTATAGGCATACCAGAGCATACTATGGCTCTGAGGCATACAACTGCCCTCCCATGGCAAAAGGGCATAACTGACAATTTGCTGTTTTGGAGATATTAAGCAAAACGTGTAATTTATTTAGCCCTAAAATGTGTTTCAGTATTTGATTTCATGGTTAATTGATTCAAATAGACAAATAATGTCTCTTCCAGTGTAGCACACATTTTTTTTCTATTGATATTGATTTTTGCGCTCAAAATGTCAGATATGCCCTTTTGTCGTGGGTTTTCTGATTCAAGACAAAAAGGATATAAGTACACAATTTAGTTTCTTTTAAAGCAATTTTAAGTCAGATTATTCAAAAATAACATTCAATATATAATTTCATATGTTAGTCATGTATAAACTATGAAATAAATGTACAATAATACCAAAGAAACACATTAAATAATAAATAGGCTAACCAAGTATACAAACGAGAAAGAGAATTAACAATAGCATGCTGTTATCTATCAACAAAGCCTTTTTGGCTCCAGGTGCTAGATCGAGGACACTGTGGGTAGGGGGCCTTAGGGACCCCTAGGGGTCTGGGGCCCCGCACAAGAGCGCATAGGTGTTACGCCACTGCGTGAAGGATGCATGCGTATGCGTATTTGAAATAGAACTGTTGTTTAGTTAGAATGCGCGTGTGACTGTTTCTATGTGTACGTTAAACAAGCATTACAATTATTTTATATAAATAGGTTTTTAATTTTATTTACAAAGTAAAATAATATTAAAATATATATTTTAAGTCATTTTAAGTAATTACAATATAAATTAGGCCTATTATTATTATTATTAGCAATTCTTCTCTATGATCCAAATTCAAGTAATAATAAAAGTTTACAAATATTATTGTTTTTTTTATATTCTAATAAAATATTTAGAAAATTTATTATATATTTGGATTTAGATGGAAAAGTAAGTTGTTTGCTTAGTGAACACAGTTGACTCTAGTAAGCTGTGCAGTTATACCTTTTTGTCATGTTATTTGCTATAAATTAACGAAGTAGTTGTGCCTTTTTGCCATGGTTATTTGCTGAATAGACGTTGTAGTTGTGCCTCTTTTCCATAGTTATTTGCTAAATAATCATTTTAGTTGTCCCTCTTTCCCATTGTTATTTCTAGTTAAAATGTGAATTGTTATTCTGCCATGGTTAATTATTTTTATTAAACAGTTACTATTTTCCCATACATTTATTTCCATAGTATTAAACTGTATGCCATTCGAAGTAAGGCAAGATTATATAGCATAACTTAACTAGACTTATCATGTTTGCCTAACCTTAACTAGACATATGCTACTGTCAAGAATCATTTAACCAATTTCTATTTACAAACTGTGAGTACGCAAACAGTAAGGATAATAAAAATAATAAAACTTAACAAGCAACCTTCATTGTAACCAGGGAGAAAGCTCTCTTCTGATTAGTTGGTTGTTGAAAGAACGTCAAGCTTCAGCGTATCACAGCTCATCTTTGCAGTTATACCCTTTTGCCTTGGGAATTTACTGAAAATTGTGTGAAAATCTAGCCCGGGGGACACATTTTTACAATTTGTTTTTGTGTCAACATGTGTAACATGATGTACTGACCCTACTAGGCTATGTAACGCAATTTCGGCAAAAATGTCAGTTATGTCCTTTTGCCATGGTGGGGGGGGGGGGCAGTAGTATTATAAAGGTATACTAAAATACCGTAAAACCTCGAGTTGAAGCCCTGGGCTTCTTCTTTTCTTTGCGAAATTTAGATGGCTTCTTTTCGAGACTGGGCCTCTTTTCAAGATGGGCTTCTTTTCGAGACTGCTTTTGCAAAGTAAAGACGGGGGCTTCTTTTCGAAATGAACGCAGAAAGTGTTGTGTATTTGTACTATAAAACAGTAAATAAGGCCACTGTAACATCAATCTGTATCATGGAGTGTATTTAACTGGCATTAAATCACCTAAACTACTATATAAACCAAGCTTGTATTTAATTTATTTTGTTTTCTGAAATTCTTGTACAGTGTATGTATGCCTACTGTAATATCTCGAAAAGAAGCCTACGTTCTTTAAAAGAAGCCCACGGATGAGCTTTTATTTGAGATGGGCTTCTTTTCGAGGCTAATTTTGCAAACTAAAGAGGGGGGCTTCAGTTCGAGATGGGCTTCATCTCGAGATTAGGCCCACTTGGCTACAATTCGAGGTTTTACGGTATGGGTTTAGCGAAATTCACTGCTAGGAATCTTAAGCCAAGTTTCCATAGCCCAAATCTGTCGGCTTGCACAAAAATCAGAATACAAGCTGAGTTTCCACTGATTGATTTGATCACGAACGTATGAATCCAACAAAACTATGTAATCATACACGGTTTTTAAGGAAGCATGGACGAAACATGGGTAACAGCAGTACCGTTCGATCACATTAAATATGAATATAACAAAGCCAAATGTATTTGTTTCACTATTTTATTTTTTCAGCATGTCCTTTACCGCCGCCAGCAGACTGTGCCGAAATTTTGCGTCGAGATTCCCTTACTCCAAGTGGGGTATACATCATTCGGCCTCGGATTCTGAATGAAGACGTTAATGTTTACTGCGATATGGAGACAGCCGGAGGTGGTTGGACAGTAATTCAAAGACGCAAGGATGGCAGTCAAGATTTTGATAAAGACTGGTTCGAGTACAAACAAGGATTTGGTGACGTTAGCAATGAATTCTGGCTCGGTAATGAAAAAATTCATTTTTTGACTCTTCAAGGTCATTATGTGCTACGCATTGATATGAAAGATTTTAAAAAGAGGAAGTCTTTTGTGGAGTATTCATACTTTTGGATTTCAAGTGAGACTGATTTTTATGAACTAACCTACAGTAAACATTTAGGGGGGATAGGGGCAACGGACAGGTTGGCTAAACACAAAGGCATGGCATTTTCAACTACCGATCGAGACCATGATTTAGCTGCAAATCTAAACTGTGCTAAGTCCTACCATGGCGGATGGTGGTTCAATAGTTGTAAAGACTCAAATTTAAATGGAAATTATTTCAAATCGGGGATAGTGACTAAGGGTCGCGATGATGGTGTCACGTGGGATTTCGACAATATCAATAGAACATCACTTATATTTTCGGAGATGAAAGTGCGGCCGGATATATTCTAGTAAATGCTTTTTAATTTTTATTGTTTATATATTAAATGCTTTTTAGTTTTTATTGTTTATATATTTCGTACCTAGTATGCTATAGTCTATTTCGGTTTAACACAACGAATATATCTTCATGGCTGTACATGATGTATTTTAATAATTTGATGTAAGGGCCTGTTTCTGCTGAGCAAAAAAACACGTTTTTAAACGGTTATTAAAAAACACGTGTTTTTCACCAGTAGAAACGGGCCACAAAACAAAACACGGTTAGGAATACGTTCTAGAAATGCGTGTTTTTACACGCATTCGTTATTATAGGGTTCGCGTTCAGAAAACGCGTGTTTTGTGGTACACTTTTCAGCTGCAACGCAATACCGTGTTAGTCATGATCCGTCGGTGACCAAAATTGACCTCTTTGTTGGTTTGATCGCTCGTCCGCGGGAAATTCGGGGCAAAGAAAAAAAATTAAACCAATAGGACGACATGCTTGAAGATCATACCATACTTTTTTTTTCTACTTTCGTGGTGTGTTGGTCTTCTTTCGCAGCATATGCGCTGCAGCTCACAAAAATTAAGGTCAGCTTCAACTTCCGTTGGTGACCGTCATTTAAGCTCCGCCCACCACCTGCCCATGCTCGCATTACCGGATTTTTATTAGTTGCACTTTTCACTAGAAAACGCGTTCAGAAGGAATTTAACCGTTTATAAAAAACACGTGTTTTTGGCGTAATTCAGCAGAAACACGCCCTTAGGGGTCAGCATTTACACCATTCTAATGATTAAATGAAGATCATTATGGTTGGTGTATGTTGGTGGGAATCGAACATCAATTCGGTTTGAGCAAGGAGGTATAATGGCAAACCTAAAGGTTGTCTATTTTTCTGTTCCATATAGTCGATTATCAGCATTATTTTCACAATCAATAAAAAGTTTGAAGTGTTACTAAGAACAGGTTTCTAAATCTTTGCATATTTTTCAATTGATCTTTAAATAAATATTTCATTGTGATACTTTACTGTAATAACAGTCAAAAGATTTTTAAATGTAAAACTGTATAGTTATTAGCCTATTATGTTGTTGCGTGACCACATAAAAAGAAACAATAAACTACTGTGTGTGTAACAGTACGTTGTATAATTAAGAAAACATCTGAACTTCACAATAATGTCGTTGATAAAGAAAAGGAAACGAGCTGACGTCAGAGTGTAGGCCTACTACATGATGTAGAAGATATGCATAGTTTATCACTATTTTTAAATAATAATATCAACAACAATAATAATAATAGTTGTTTATATACAGTGTATAATTATTTAAACAAATGCGTTATTAGAATATTTTTTTGTGTATTAGTGTTTAAACAATTCTGTATAGGCCTTATAAAATTTTACAGTATAAAATCATTGCTTTGTACAGTTCAAAACGCCATTGTACATGCTTTGCATCTCCAATCTTGTTCTGATACCTTCTGGTGTGCCACAAGGGTAAATGTTATATCTCCTTTTATTATTATTATTATTATTATTATTATTATTATTATTATTATTATTATTATTATTATTATTATTATTATTATTATTATTATTATTGTTATTATTATTATTATGTAGGTATGTAGTTGAAAAGCCCAAGGATAAACCATAAAAAAGTTCCAACAAAACATAGATTTTCCATATCTGATAATCTAAAAAAATACAATTTGCCCAGAAAATCATTAAATAAAAATATTGCTGACATAATTAACTTCCGGCAGTTTTACATGCTAAACTGCAAAAGATGAATGGGGTTATTATTCTCACAAGACAGTATTTAGTACGCTAAGCAATATAGATTAACTATTGATACATGTTCCCTGGACAACTGGGCTGAGCAGACAGTGGCGTAGAAAAATATTTTTCATTGGGGGGGAGATGATTGGCGTGTTAGCCAGTGTCGTAACAGGCGCGGGGAAGGGGAAAACTGCCCCTCCCCTGGCGGTTTTTACCGGGCTGACCAAGCCGTCGTACCGGGCTGGGTAATAAGAGAAAAGAAAGAGGGGAGAGGGAGGAAAAGAGAAAGAAGAGGAAAAGGAAAGGAAAGAAAAAGAAATAGAGAAGAGAAAAATAAAGACAAGAATAAAAAGGAAGATATCATAATGACCAGACTCACAACACCCAACCCCTTCTCCACTTCAAAAACTGTTGTAACTCCTTTGGTCTATGCTGTCCAATGGCGTAATCACTGGGGGACAAGGGGAAAATATCTATCTTTGAAAAATCTTCCCCACCCCATTATAAATGCCCTTTTCATCCCCTGAAAGTGCCTAAAAACCTCAAATTTCGCGCGCATTTCTTGTTAACATTATGGGCCAATTTCCTCTAAAAATTGCATATTTTAGGGAGTTTTGATCAATTCCAACGAAATTAGAATTAAAAACACCGGGGGACAATTAGGGAAAATATATCTTTGGAAAATCTTTCCACACCCCTTGACAAATGCATCCTCTGAAAGTGCCTAAAATTCTCAAATTGTTTGCGCGCATTTCTTGTTACGGTAGGCCAATTTCCTCGGCCATATAAATTGCACATTTTAGGGAGTTTTCATCAATTCCGACGAAATTAGAATTAAAAACACAAAAATATTTTGCGCGATTCGCGCGCATTTTTTAGGTTTATCCTTTTAAGTTATTTAAACACATAATAGTCCCAAACTCAAGAAAACTAGATGGCCGGAAATTACACTCTCACACTTAAAATTTAAATATAATTTTCTTTATATCTCCATTATGTTCCCCCCCCCCCCTTGAATCCGCTACTAATTGGTCTTTATAGATAAGATCATTTCCTTGGTTTTATACATAATTTTGTTTCATTTTCATATTATGAAACCATGAGTTGACTTTGTTGGAACATTTGTAGGCCTACGAGGCTTTGTTTGCGTAACCCAACAGTTTTTTTCATCAATTACAATGTTCGGGAAATCATTTGTCTTTGTAGATAAGATCATTTCCTTGGTTTTATGCATAATTTCTTTTCATTTCCATATTACCAAACCATGAGTTGACTTCGTTGGAACATTTTGTATACATTTTTTTAAAACCCATTATAGTGTATCTTTCCAAGCTAGTTAACTTCATTACGCCTTCGAAGAAACTTTATGTCTACCTTGGATTTCTATACTTGGGATACATGTCCTTTTTTTTTAAAGTTGGTGATCCAAAATTATATGATATTTCACTGCTGGAACTGAAAAATTCTTAACGAAATGTCTAACTTCCTACATAGTAATCATGAATAATCGAACTTTTCTTTGGTAAACATTCTTTCATTTTAATGACATTCATAATGTCATTAGCGAACTGTATTGTCTCGTGTAAACCTACACGCTCATCTAAGTTACAATTACAAAATAAAAATGTTATGGTTAGAGATACCGAGTAGGCCCTAAATGTCTAAGGTTGTTGGTAAAATCAATTGTTAAAACTTCGTGTAGATACGAGGTACCTGTATATACATTCGTATAGCTTCTAATTAGGCCTACTTCATTGCGACATGAACTTTGTATTTTCTTATGGGATTATCAACGCTCATAACATAGGATTTGTGTTTGAAAAAAAGTCATGATTTACTTTGTGCATGATAATTAAGTCCTGTCAAAAAAATACAAACTGTTTTGAAATAGCATGCAAGTGTCATTGAATGCATCCGGGTCACTTAAGCCCTGAGTCGTTTTTTCCTGTGTTGTCTACCTGATTTGAAGGCCGGAACAACATAGGAGACCAAATGTTGTCAATAACAACAATAACAATAATAATATCAATTCTAACTTTTAGTGCAAACCAGACTATTGCACTAAAAGTTAGAATTGATAAAATGACTTATGAATCAGTCATTTTATCAATTCTAACTTTTAGTGCAATAGTCTGGTTTTATAGCCTTGATAAACAGAACATGAAAAAAGTTGAAAGAGTTAGTAGAACAGCTGACAGAATTATAGGGACTAAAAACAGTAGGAATATAGAAGATTGTGTTAACAGTGCAATGTGTAAAAAAATGGAAGTAATTATATCAGAGGTTAATCACCCTCTTAATCAGTACCTCGCCTTCAGCAGGACTGGACGTATGTTATATCCAAGAATGCGGACAAATAGAATTTGTAAATCATTTCTCCCAAGCGCTAAGAGACAATTTAATAAAATGTGGAAAAGGTAGGCCTATGCTGTATACCCCAATCTACTTGCCTTTGCCAAAGCTGATTTTTTACAGAATGTTTAACCAATTTTAACCCCTTTTTAATGTTTTTAGCCATTTTAACCTTTTAGCAGACTTTTATTGTTTTTTTAATTTTTGCTGTTTCCTCTGTTTTTTTTCTGTGATTTTATCTTTTGTGTCTTGTTTTAACTTACATTTTAACTGTGAACAAACAAGAAGAATTTCAAACCATGTTCTCACTGTGTTTGACAATAAAAGTTGAATTGAATTGAATTGAACATTTGACTTGTTCGGATTTATCAAACTAAAAATCAGCTTTAGTCGTAAGTCCATTTTTTGCTTAAGTCAGATTTATCAATATTGCTTTAGCTTAAGCATTGCTTGAAATTTTTAAAAAGTTTTATTTTATGCATGCGCCATATAAGACGATTTTTAAGGTAAAGTTTTGCTAAGATGGATCAGTTTAAGATATTTGCTTAAAGACATCTTAACTTTTTTGACTTAAGACATTTGCTAAGCTGAGATTGATAAATCCCAGACCAGGGCTGAAAATAATTGAATGTATCAGAGCATGGAAATGTATATATGGCGTAATAATTACAATTATAATTATATTGATTGTAACTTTTAAAATTAGAACAAGAAGACAATAAAGAGAGTCGTATACAACACATATTTTTCAAACATTTATTTTATGCTTATGGATAATTAATTACTGCATTTTAATGACGCAAATAAAATATGGCGAACCAATTGCAATTACATAGTTCTTGATTGTAAGGTTTAAAAAGCTAAAGAGGTACAATACTTTAAAAAAAAGGCCGACACAACATGCATTTTAAAATATACGCTATTATTTTTTGAAGCAGAAATAATAACTTTTCTCTGAAATAATAATAATAATAAATATAAAATATACAAAATATATAATATAATAAAAACAAAAACATACAAAAAAAAAATGATTTTAAATTTATTATAATCTATTTTTATTTAATTTGGTTAACAAAAAGCAACAAATGTTGTACTGTCTGTCATGGTCTGAAAAGGGTTCAAATTCAGTTGCTTTAAATTACCTAATTATAATGTGTACGGTAAACTTAGGGCCTATATAAGTTATTAAAGTAAATAAAAATTTGAATAAGGATAAATTTCCCCCGTCCATTAACGGACAGTTATACTTTCCTAGACCCTTAAATTGGCTGGTAATCATTTTAAGGATATTTTTTGTAGTTAAATGTCTGTAATTAGCAAAAACCTTTTATTAGATATGTTTCTTGTTGGAAGTTAAGAACTTATTTGATAATTTTAAATGACCTATCCAAAATTTTTATTGAATTATTTGAGGTTTTCCTGACTTTGTTTTGATGGCAGACAGTACAGTGCATCTTTTTATACAAGCTTAACCATATAAAAAACGTCAAGTATACCTACACAAAATGTATAAAATGTAAATTTATACACACACCACATTTTAAAAAACAATAGGCCTAAACGAACAATTATAAAAAGTAATACAAATACTTTATTACAACAGAAATATAATATGGCAAAATAATTCCAAATATATCTTGTCTGTAACATTTAAAATGAACGTACAATATAAAAGAAGACAGACAAAACACGTATTTTAAAATATTAATAATTTGTTAAAAACACAAGAATATAATAATAATACTGGTAAACTGGGACCGAAAGAAACAAGAAAAAAAAAAAACAAAAACAAAAACAAAAACAAACAATTTTTTTTTAGAAAGATCACCGTTGTTGTAGTCCTAGGTTAAGAAGTGAAATTGTGGACTGAAGAGAGAGACCAACGCCATTGGAGAGTTTGGTCGTGGTGAACACTCCATCTAAACTGTCCACATCCTTTTGGTTTTTTCACACCTCTACTACCAGGGTTAAAATACACATTAAACAGCAGGGTGTTGTAATCACTAATTAACTTTGCCAATGTGTGAAAATCAGTGATGCATATGTATCAAAGGACTTGCATAGTTAGTTTGTAGTTGTTTCAATTCTAACTCTCATGTGAAGGGATAATAGTTTTCATAATTTCTCATTTATATTTGACATCATTACTCACTTCACAATAAAACACATTGTTTGCTGAGGAAAATTTTAATCCTGATAATCAAGGTTAGCCCTTATTTAATGTAAACATTGAAAAGGGTGTGCTTAAACCCGAGTTATTCTATTTAACTCGGGTTTGCTTTAGATGAGATGTTTTCGTCATGGGTTAAATGTTAAATTGTTTATTGCCGTAAACTAAAATCAAGGTGAAGTCACTAGTATAAACGTGATATATACAGAACTAGAATTACAGTTCAATTTAAGAAATCGAAGTACTGTACTTAGATCGTGGTGGTCAAAACAAATACGTGTCTTCGTTTTTTCTTGTATGTTTTCGTTTTGTAGATACCAATATGTATGAAACGAAGCACGTGGTTATATTTCCCATTTTAAATTATATTTTCATTTTAAATGATGAACGATTGTAATATTATATAATTTAGAATTATTTTCAAGAGAATAAAAGAGAGAATTGAAACAATGGATGTCTATTAAATTAAAACCCTTAATAATATTACAAACAAAATGTCTGATTTCGTAATTTTGATATTATATTCGGATATATTCTTATTATTAAAATGGAAAAGAACAAAGTATAAGTCTCTGTGTCTGAGTATTAGGTCTTTTATCCTTGTTTTGTATACATCTACTTTGTTAAATGGATGGTTGATATGATTATTACGTCAATTATTAATTTAATTCGCGAGCACTGTACAGGTATAATATTATGTACATTTAATATAGATTAATTATTAACATTACAAACATAATTTTATGGTAAGTTAACTTTTATCATATATATATATATCTACACATTATATACTGTCTCTTATACACATCTAGATGTGACATAATAGGTAACACAATGTAGAAATGTGAAAATAGTTTGCTGTAAACCACGATTTTATCTTAATATATCAATATTATTATTATTATTATTATTATATATCAATAAAAGATAAATACAAATAAAATAAACATTTTCGCTTCGTTCGCCTTTAATAGTGGAGCTGTAGCTTAGTCGTCAACATGCTTGACTTCCAATTCCAGATGGGTTAAAAATCACCAGAATTCCCGGAATTTTATAAAAGATACTTATAATATCGAACTTATGTACCATCGTTTCATTCTGTAAGTGGTGATTGTACTTGCTGTTGGATGTGTTAGATTTTTTTTAATAAAAGAAACTGAGAGGCATCTACAAGAATCAGCAAACTATAATAGGATAATATTTAAATATAAAACAACATGATTAACCTGATTGATTTAAACATATGGAAGATTAAGAACACTTAACAAGTTTAGCTATTGTATCGCTTGCTTTTTAAGGTCTGTTTATATATTAAATATGCAAATTAGATGGTAAAGTAGCTGCTCTATCGCTGGTAAGGCGTGCTTGGTCACCTGTTTCCAATCCTGTTCGCCTCTAGAATTTTGAGATAAAAATAATTGGTATTGGGTAATAATTGAAAATTGTATAGAGTTATTTTGATTAGATTATATTCTATACCCTCAATTTAATTATACATTGTAAACAATTGCATTATGTCTGTCATATTTTCTCTATGGTCTGTCTGAGTGTGAATATTAATTTGACAATGAAAGTGTATCATTAAAGCCTATCAAGTTAATCCTGTGTACTTACATTGGGGAGTTGTGCACTTCCATACTTTGTATCTTTTCGTTTTGTGTTTGCCGTCTTAATCTATAAATAAGATGATTCATAAGGTTAACATTACATTATGCCATTGGAGGCCTAAACAACTAATTTATCTGATTTTTTTTTTTCAATTTCATTCATTCTACAAAATTAAAGGTGATGCATCACATTTAATCATTCACGCACTCCTCCCAACAACCATTCTGAGGTATATACAGATCCATCCGGTCTTTCTCTAAATTTGGAGAATTTGAATAAAACTAAATTCTTATGTTAAAATAAAATTGAACTTACATATAAGGTAACTCCAAAAATAATGACAATAAAGCCAAGACCAGCGAGGGCGCAAACTATTAAGAGTACCATAGAGCTGTCTACGCCTGATTTGGTTTTTGTTGGATTTTCTGGCCATATCAACGTAGAGGAGAATGAATTCCGGCTTGACGGATACGTCGCAGTATTGAAGACAAATCTGTACTCTCCATTGTTAATCTGAATGTAATAAAATATTTGAATCACATTATGAACATTTATATAATTGTGACAGCTGCTTAGCTCGTGTAAACTGGTGGTAGAGACTGTCAGTGCGCTAAACCGTGAAGATCCGTTTAGATTTTTAGTCCCCTCATTCAATTTAAATAACTGTTCTCCTTGTGTATAACAGCTGGAATAGAAGTTTCAAGTGCAATATGGCATATGTGAATGTTAAAGAACACAGTTCACTCTTCGTAGTGTGCTGCCCAATTCACCACCAAGATAAACCCCATTGGAAAATCCCTTGGTTTGTTTGCATCAAAATATTATATTATCACATACGTCTATCCTATGATTTTCATGGGTAAGTAATGCAACACATAGTTCTAATCTTCATATCATGGTTGCACATGCACAAAAGCTAACTTTCTCTAGACCTTCGTCAAATTAAATTAAAAATGTCTTCATTTTAAACATAATTTATGAATTTGAAAAACATTATGAAAAAGTGCAACTAACAGTTTTTTGCATTTCAGACGACATCTTCTCTACATCAACGGCACCATCTTGACTACCAACAAGTGAAAAAGAAACATGGATTGCTTGGGAACTTCCAGATGACTAAACATAAAGAAAGAGAAGAAAGCAGTTTTTTTCATAATTCATAATTTTATTTCACGCAAAACTCAAAAGTGAAGAGTCTGAGGCAAAAAGAGAACATGTCCCTAGGTCTACAAGATGCCTACCATAGAAACAATGATTAACAAAATAACATCTACAACAACAATAATAATAATAATAATAATAATAATAATAATAATAATAATAATAATAATAATAATAATAATAATAATAATTATGAAAATAAAAGCAACAACAACAACAACAATAACAATAATAATAACAACAATAATAAAATTGATAATAATAATTGATAATAATAAAAACTTATTTGTAAGATATTTTTGAATCCTGTCACAAAAATTATTGACAAACAAACCTAATGAAAATAACAGTGTTACGATTAAGGGCTTTGTTAGAAAATAGGTACTTGAAGTCAACTTTCAATTAAATATGGTTGCTAGGCAACACTTTTTCGTTCAGTTCACATAAAACTGTTCAATAAGAATTTTATAACTCCAAGATAGGAAAGATATCGGTTAGAGGATATCACTGTACTGTACAATTTAGTCAAACAACTTATTTTTCGAAAACATTAAGTTATCTTATATCATGATGAATTTGAAAAAATGAAGACGGAAGTAACATAGACAAAAACAAGGCTGAGAATGTGTATAGTGAGACAAAAAGCGTATTGTGTTATGTATTTATCCTGTAAAAGCAGAACAAAAAGGTGTCAGAATTGTAGAGAAGCACTTATATAGAGCATTTAATTTTAAACTACATGTGCAGTAATAAAAAATGTATTGTACTTAAGCAAATTTGTGTTCTACTTGAGCGTAATATATGCGGCAATAAAAGTAGAAATATCGGCCACTAGCATATACAAACACTGTATAAATAACTAAAACAATGCATTTTATTAGCATAAGCAATGTGTATCTGCTTTAATGTAATTGTTTTGATTAATGTGTATTGATGTTTTATAATATATTTCTATATTGTTAATCGTCTTTTTGTTAAGGTAATACAACACATTGTCAGGCCTTGCCTTTGTTGTATTCCTTCCATCTTTTGTTTTATTGTTTTTATTCATGATGGAAAATATAGATTAATTGATTGATTAAATGTTTTTTCAAATTGATATGGGATTTTGGTTGGTTGTATAACCTACCTCTAAATGCTCTATAACCTTCATCGGGATACTAAATGTCATAGATAGGTCTTGGTGTAACAATCTGTGAAATAAGGTGAACTGATATACAACTTCAAGACATGACGGATTTATTAACACCTCAGCAACCATGGAGCTGTAGATTTTGGTAAGTTAATTCTAAAGGGTCCTAACTTTTTTATTCTTATTAAAGTTATTATTTAATTTCATCTATTTATTGTAAAAAAAACCTGTAAAGATGTATTTTTAGCAAACAGCACAAAATAACAATTGTTGGAACATAAATCAACATAATATTCGTTGTTTAAACTCACAGTAGGTATACGGTAACTATTATTAAACAAAATATTTTAATTGATTTTCGCAATAACATTCGAGTCCCGCTGATTTTATTTCTTTGTCAGATTCCACGCTTGGTATTAGTGGCATATTATTTCACATCGACTAATGTTGCCGAGTTGGCAAGTAAATTGGTTTCAAGATACTTTCAATGCAATCAATTAGTAAACACGTTTTACTTACAGTTTGAAGTGCTCCGTTATATCAACAATGCTATCAAAGTCGCCATCAAAATCAAATGATACTCCAATGACAGTTCTGAAATATATAGTATATAAGAGCACATACCAACAACATTGGTAGCAGAACAATGAGATTTACATTTGAACAAAGCACCACAACTCCCACTGGGGATTTCGTTCCTAAATCGGGTGAATCATTCACGAGTACTATCCTGGTTGGTGAAACCGTAATTCGCTGTTTTTGTTTTTATGTAGTGATTTTACTCGAGCATTTTTATTTTCATTAGTAAAGATTCATATGTAATCGACATATAAAACAATGTAATTTATTAGATTTACAACTTAATTTGATCAGATAGGGACATACATACTGTATTTTAAACCTGAACAGACCAGATGGTAAGAAAACATCTTAGTTCATATCTAAAACAAGTGTTTGACGGATTCTTACTCTGAAATATGGTCACGCCAAAATGCACAAAAAGACTATTCTAAAGATTATCAAATGTACTGCGAGACATGCACTGCACAATGGATAAGGATTGTTCACCGGGTCCTTGTTGTAGAAAGGTTTTACCGCAACACAGCGGCGTAGCTAGGTGCAAAAGGGCCCCAGTGCAAGCTTAATTGCCGGGCCCTTTGAAGTGATAGAAGAATTCCCTAAAGTTTTCTGAAAATTTATCATAAGAATTGCTTCTTTTACCCCTACTCCTAAAGGCCTAGGTTACGGTAATATGCCTAAATACTAACGATAATCAGATTTGTAACTATATTAAAAGGGGCATATTCAACAGCTGTTATAAACTAATCAAGAAAATTGGTGGCACGTAAAATTGAACAAATTGCAGTGGTGGACCTGAGAATTCGAAATAGAGGAGCGAGGGAGGGATTGTCACAGGCGGAGGAGGTAGACCACCTGAGCCCCACTATGATTGGGGCTGAGGTAAGAAAATTTATAATTATAACACCTCTAGATGATATCTCTCAGATTTATAATAAAATGAATATAATATCCTTTTATTACCATTTTAAAAAAATAATTTTGAAAAATAGGGGGTTGGGCCGGCTGGCTGGGCTTCTTGAATACACTACTGAATTGAAATCAACACAGTAATCAGGGGGTTGGGCCGACTGGCTGGGCTCCTTGAATACACCACTGAATTGAAATCAACACAGTAATCAATAATTACTCTTCTAAAACCAAACAATATTTTTTTTGGCCGTTTTTTTTTTCGTTAAAATTAAGTTGGAAATTATTTTAAATTATTATTTTTAGGTCTATTTATGAATGGGTCCCTAATAGCCCCGAGCCCAGTGTTTTGCACTGGCTGCACTGAGCACTAAGCCTTCAACTGTAAACTGTGAATTAAACTTAAACAGAAAATTACTGCCAGGTGACCTAACAATAACATTATCCAAATGAATTTCAAATGTGTAAGTATTGCAAATGCAAACAATAGGTCTAATATACCAAAATGCCCCGTTATGCATTTTGGTTGATAAGATTATACAGTAGTCAGTGGCGTATCAAGGAAGGTGCTCGGGGTGCCTGAGTCATCTCTGTCAGAGATTGAAAAAAGTGCCCATTTTTAATGTTAAAAAATAACTAACATAAATTTTAAGTATTAAAGTGCATTTTCAGTCATCTAGACGTCCTCAATTCCAAAAATTGTTCTCACTTCAGTTTCAACCATGATGAGTCTCAGGTGGATTTAGTAATTTTCATATATTTTTTGTATTAAAGTGCCATTTTCCAGCATCTAAATGTCTCAAATTCTTACAATTGTCTTACTTCAGCACCAACCATGGTGGGCTGATGTGGATGGTATTTTTCATAAATTGTAAGTATCCAAGTGCCGTTTTCAGCCATCTATAAAATCTCAAATTTCTAAAGTTTACTCATTTGCGCCCCAAAACCATGGTGGGACTGAGGAGGATATTCGTAGATTTGTACTATTCAAGTGCTATTTTAGGGTATCTATAAGTCTCAAATTCTTAAAATTTCTTCACCATACAGTAGTTGGCGTTCAGGTGGATATGGTAGTTTTTAGAATTGGAAGTATTTAAGTGCCATTTTCGGGCACCTATTTACTTAATTGTTTTTTTTTTTTGACTTATTTTGTAAAAAATAAAGGAATTAAATGGTAATTTAAGTTCCATTTCCTGCCATCCTGAGGTACAAAATACTGGAAATGTTGGCATGTCACGCCACCCAAGGGCGCTGATGTGGTGTGAACACTCATTTCATTCAGCAACCCCCTCTCCCTCCTTAAATCCTGGATACGCCGCTGGTAACCACAGGGTTAAAATTTAGGTTTAAGTTCATCAAATATAAAATTGAAAGGTTGAAAATATTTTCTGCAAAAAGGTGGATTATATTTTCGTTTCAAATATTAAAATTTGTCTCATTTTCATTTTGAAACTAGGGAATCTAAAGGAACGCCGAAAAGATGTAAACTCACCGTATAAGAAATACCTACGACAAATATGGTTGTTAAAAATCAAGTGGCTCATTACTAGGCACACTAAGTAAACATCCAGTTACACTATTTTGTTTCAATCGTAAAGGCCAGAATTAAAAAGCAAACCTTTGTGTTACAGAGTAGGCCTATACTCCTAAACAAGCAACTTCAATGGTTAAATCACCATTTGATATAGGTAATAAAATAACCTGCGTGTTATAAAGAATAGTTCTTACCTATTTGCTGTTATCGATGTAATCAAAGAAGGGCAACATAGAAAAAAAAAAGGAATACATTGTAATTATGCAAATGAGGTGTACATTCTTCAACACACTTTCATGTCATAGTCCAGACATTTTAAATTATACATACATACACTTATAACAGTAAGAATCATGAATACAGAAAGACAACACAATTAATAGTTTGTAAAATATTAACTTACAACAATCGTTATTAGTACAGGCCCAGGATGCACTTAGACAGTAGCTGTGATAAAAATAATAAAACAGAAAATAGAATTATAACTGGATCAATACAAATACAAAAATTGTCAATTCAATTCAATTCCACCTTTATTGCTGTCTCTTATACACATCTAGATGTGTTTATTTTACATATTTTATACTTGCGTCCATTGTGGCCTAAATGTTATGCTATGTTTCTCTATTTCCTGTTTTTATTTGGAATTTTGGTCAATATACTATAGTCTGTTTATTATACTGTCAGCATAATGTGGGAACGACTATTAATCTCCGTTCTCATTTTATTACTGTTTATTACTATCAATGTATAGGCCTACCCGATTTTAATTACTCTCATTATAATCCGCATGGTTATTCTTTAACTCCTCCCACTACAGTGGTTACGTGTGTCCACTTTTTGCTAGTTTTTTTGATGTACCTTGATAAAGACCTGAGGATAGGTCGAAATATTGGTTTTCTCAAATAAAGTGTTTCTGAAGTCTATACATGGTATTCGTTTCCTATATTCTTTTGTTATATAAGTCTGTGGTACATGCCATGGGAAACTTTTTTATACATTGTCGTGGCGACATTTGGAAACCAGCTCTGTTCTTTTGTTTAAAGTTCTTATTACTAGTGGTTATATAATATTTTTCCTAACTCAAAGAAATGTAACCTGTGTCAATGGAAAAAAATACTATACTGGTATAAGTATTAATAATAACTGGTTTCCAAATGTCGCAACGAGAACAAGTTACTATATATATATATATATATATATATATACATAAAGACAAAAAAAATCACCACATTAAACATATATGACTTAAAAGGGTTTAAGTAAAGAAAGACAAATGCACACAGTTATCAAAACCATCAAATATAACGTACAATATAAATTACAAATAGGCCTATGAGAATTAAAACAATTAATATATATGATCACAATCGATAAACAGTATATGATCACAAGAATATAGCTGAATATATTCTTTGTATAAATATTTTATAACATACATTTCCGTATCTTATTTCGTTAGGTGAAAAATGTAAAGATATAAATAATTTAGAATATACAGTATAATAAATGTACACACCAAACATTGCACTCTTCCCATCTGTGTTGATTTTCAGAATATAATTCAACATAATCACTTGAAACAAATTCACACTCATTACCTGTAAGATAACATGAGAATATTCGTCAGAATTTTAAATTTACAATGAATTCATATAGTATTGTAGGCACCTACCATCAGTAGCCCCTAACAAGTATTCATAATAATTATTTTTATATTTATTATTTTTATTATTATTATTATTATTATTATTATTACTATAATCATCATTATTATTATTTGTATATTTGTGTTAAAACAGCTTAGTTTTCAAATTATTGGTACACATATCATTTATGAAAATATCGGTAGAATAATGTTCGTTTATATTTGGCTAACTGAGACCAATCAAAATACGTGCCTTGCTAGGCCTTTGCCTTTTTTTTTTAACCCATAAGCATAGTTTAGGTACTGAAGACTTTTTTGTGTAGCCGAACCCAAAATGGTTTAAACATTCATAGATTCTATGACTATAATAAAAAAAAGGTTATAGTAAATGTACATTTAAAAACCGTGCTTCTTTTTTTAGGCATCAATATTAGGAACTGTAATTAGAATAACTTATATAGGTAATGAACACTAAGCGTTCTACGACAAAGGTTAGTGTTGCGTGACATAAGGTGTGAATTACGGTACATACCATTGAAACAATGCTTCATTGTACACACCCACGCTCCATGTATGCAGTAACTAAAAAAATGCAAACAGGTGTGAGTAGCAAACATGTTGAAAAAACACAAGTGAAATTTAATAACTTACAAAAAAAACCCCATAATATATGAAAACAATAACAAATTTGATGAGATATAAATATTATGGTATTTCAAAATTGACTAAATAAAACAATAAATAGTGTAATAAAAAACATTATTTAATGGTTTTTTTTCAAAATAAAACAAATTTAAACAGCTATATCGATAAACAATCGATAAACAGAGATGTTAAGGAAACTTAGCGGATTAGCAGTTGGTGAGCAACACGATTTGAGATCCCTGATTCACCACTCCATGTACACTTTTCATTCATTACTTATAATTATCTTACGTTCGATAGTAGTGGTTGCTAGTTATTTCTTGGAATAATTATAAAGGATCTACTAAATCTTTCTAAATCTATTATCGTACTTGATATTGTTTTTGTGATGGTTATGTATACTTTCTTGGATCTAATTTTAAATCCATAATATATATTATAATATAACATGAGCATATATAGAGCATTGTAGTACAGATGTAGACCATCAGTGCAGTATATAATACAAACAAAACCCCCAAAACACGTAGACTTATTCAACTCACCAAGTGTTGCAGTCATCTTGCCGACTATCATCCTCAAAGAATATCTTATCCTCGTACCTACATATACCACCTAATTAAAATAAAACAAACAAACATTTTATATTAAATACAAAGAAGATGATAAGTGTATAAAATAATCTTTCATTGTCACAAGTACATACTAAAAGAATAATATTCACAAGTTTATAATTTTTGAATAAAAACATGTTGTAGAGCTTAATAAACTAGTGTGCAAACTATTTAGAAATATATCATTTTTGAATTAAGAAAAACACAATAGTGATTGTATAAAATTTTAGAAAAGGGAAAGAAGAAATCTAAATATGTAATAACCATTAAAATGTGTTACTCTTTTTATGTACAAGTGCTATCATTAATAATATTTCAATAGAAAGAAAGCTAAAAATAAAGTTTAATATTTTTTTTAATCATAGGCCTATAATTATTTAAGATGAAAGCTAAAAATAATTGTATAATATTTTTTTCATCATAGGCCTATAATCATTCAAGATGACTTGTAAAAAATAGTGCCGTTTTTGGCCGCAAGACAAAAAACTTGCAACAATTTTCAGGAAAAATGATATTACCGTACTCATTACTTAAATGATTTATTTTAGTTGTATGGTTGCGTGACTTATGAGCTTGTAAATATAACTTACCACATGAAGACATTGTACAAGCCCAATTTCCATCGTAGCATGTGCTGTATGCAAAAATCAAAATTTCGATTCAAATGTACAGTGTTAGAAAGGTTTTCAATCATATTTTTATTACAACATTTTGTGGTTACATTGGGTTTGCGCTATTTATTTCTATATTATTGTAACTAGATACCGTATTATTTATTACATTTTTTACAAACATACAGCAGAGTCATTTATTGCCATCATAGAAACTGTAATAGCAAGTATAAATGAAATCAGTGTTTAAATCACTAACGCTGAAGACTTTCTTCTTAGAATCTTTCCATCTATTATTAATACAAAAAATATAGAAATCAAGTCTTGGATACCAAGTAACTTAAGTATTACGAGGAATGATGATTTTAAGCACAATGATATTTGTTTGAAACGTAAAATGGAGGCTTGCTCTTTAGGTTTTTTTAAACCTAAATATTTCTGTAACCTTTCTTCATATGTATTTACGGTATTGTTTTTTCGTATGTTTTGTTTCTTATAAACAGTGGATGGAACGAATAAAAAAAAATCAAGTTCATGGTGGGTCTTAAAAATCTAACTATAGTCAAGCATATTATGTTTTAATGTGTTTGAAGTTGAACACGAAGATAGAGAAAGTTTAAACTGAACCAAACGTGACATTGCAGGTCTAATTGAACCAGAAACTTAGGATTTATAGAGCCTGAGATATCAAATATTTTGATGCGTCTTTACTAAAGATAATTTTTATAAAAGGAGAGAAATAATACTAATAATAATTAATAAATTATAACAAAAAATATCCAACATTTTACAAACAACAATACAGCTGTACAATGGTCGGTTATAGTAGGAATCATAAAAACTTACCAAAGATTACAACCTGTTTCTCGAACTTCTCTGTTATAATATATATTGCCCTCAAAAGTGCAGCCTGTGAACATAATCATTCGTTGGAAATTTAAATATTGAACAATTTTATATTATAGATTGCATTACCAATAACGATGAAAAAATTAATTAATTTGTGGGGGTGTATAATGTTCGTTTGTAGACGATCAATAGCTTTTTTTCAAATTGTTAACGTTCGAATCTATATAGGAAAACCAGGACCTGACATGCCATTGGTTCTAAAATAGTTAACGCGTGCATTTATGGAAACCAAGACCTGATTTGTGCAGCTCAGTGTGTTTCATTCAGTTTACTTACTAAATTATAGTAAGAATTTTTTAGATATACAAATAAGGGTAAAACTTTACTGTAAATTGCTTGGTTTTGTTTTTGTTACGCTATTTATCCGTTTGTTGTTTTTGAACTGTCTTTTGCTTTCCTTTGTATATATTTTATATTGTTAATGGGTGCACCATCTAAGTGATGGGTGCCACTGATCTAAAAGTGAACCCAATAAATCGTATCGCATCGACGTATAGTATTTCTTTTGGTTTCTTAAATGCACCTCTAGATATGAAAACCAGGACCTGACGTCCAAAAGGTTCTAAAATAGTTAATGAGTACATTTATGTTCAAGCGCTTCGAGGTTGTGTCAACGTGAGGCGCTATATAAATCCAGAATTATTTTTATTTTTATGAAAACCAAGACCTGACGTCTAGTAGATTGAATTGATAGATCCGCTACTGACGACAACCAGGACCTGACGTCCAATATTCTTTACTAGTCAATGTTCGCATTTAGATAGGAAAGCAACGAAATGACCTCCGGTTTTTTCCTAAACCCCACCCATTTATAACAATTACATTAAGTATACGATAACGACAATACATAGGCCTACTTATTGTATCATCCGTTGAGCAATTTTGACCACTGAAGTGAACTGGGCACGTACAATGATAACCCGATGGATTGGAGGCATCTAATGTACAATTGCCGCCATTTTCACAAGGACTCGGCAAACATGGGTCTGAAAGACAATAAAAGTTGATATGTTTAAGTATACTAAATACAACAGCAATATTTTAAATAATAATAATAATTTTATTTCTCATTTAGGACATATATTGTATCAACTTGACTTGAACCCAATGAGGTTTCGTCCATTGATTGTTGAATCAGTATCAGTTACAAGGCATTATGTTGCTATCGGTAAATGTGTAATAGGATTATATAATCATACATCAGAACAGCTCATTTACTTAAACCAATGTACATATTTTATGTTGGATTAACCACAAAGATCTTTCGTGTCCTTAGTTCAATTCTAACAACCTGCTTAGAAGAAACGTTAAGCCGGTGTACTTCCAAATTCTCAATCAGACGTTGTACTGCATAATTTCCGATCCCGAATTTATTTATTACTTAATGGGTCATTTTTAGCAGTATTATTTACCGATGGGACATTTTGAAAATTTGAAAAATATCTCAGAAACCTTAAGGAATAAATGATTTAAAGTTTATTCCATATTTACATTCAGCCTAATGTTAAACAAATAAGGTGAAAATATTGTTAAAAAAACGTACTGTATGTGTCGCGGATGGGAGATTAATAATTAGACGTAAATTTAATATATTTTCTCCATACCTTGGCAGATTGATGGTTCATAGATATATTAGAGCTTTATTAGAATTAGAACAGGCTCCGGAGGAAAATGTTTAAAATGTTGTAGAACTAATTTTTCTAAGATACAAAAAGGATGTTTGACGAAAAATATCTGGAACGGTTAATAAGATACAGATTTTTGAATATTCAAAAACTAGTGGCAAATGTGGAACGAGAGCATCAATGATGTAGTAGCCCACCCCTGCTTAAGGTTTGTATTTTTGACAGATATGATGCACCAAACAAAAATCGAATAGGCCTATATAATGCTTTTATGTCTTTGAGGCATGGTTCAGTAATCGTTTGTACACATTAGCAGAAGCAAGTAATAAGAAATGCCAGAGAACACCTATTCTATTTTTTATTTTATAATATATAATATCAAGTAATTTAGCAGTTCTTATAGGCCTACCTAAATGTTTTGGAGTCTCAACTAAAAACTTACTACAGAAGTTAGACATTGTCCATTTACCTATAATTACATGAACATTTTGGCCTATCACATTGTCACCCGTTGGGGGGGGGGGGGGTGAACAGTCTTAATATCTTAAGGGTGTAAAAACATCTAGAACCTAAGTGAGATCTTTTTCGTCACAATATTAAGTGGTAATGCTGTTTTTGTTAATAAACATTAATGACTTACCAGCTAATGATGTGATTTTCATATCGCAATGTTTTCCCGTATACTCCAATGGACATGCACAAAAATATGAGGAAATATCCGATGACAATGTGAAACAAGTGCCGTCATTTTGACAGGGAGTGAATGCTTCACATGCGGTCACTGTAGTGGTCACTGTAAGTAAGTAAGTAACTTTATTGCTTCTCTTTTATAACAGAGGCACAGCCGTAAAGACGTGCAACAGTAACAAAATCAGTAAAAACTTAATTACTGTGATAAAATATAGTAAGAAAATACTGCGGTAGAACGAAACATAAATAAAAAAAGGGTTTACAAAAATAGTAATAGAGATAAAAATAAATACTAATACTAATATAAGTTAGTTGGTTAATACATCACTTATACACACATACATATATACATACACACAAACATATATATACACACATATATATATATATATATATACATATACATATATATATATACAGTATACATATACATATATATATATATGTATACACACACACACACACACACATGCTTACATATACAAACATACATACACACACAATACATACATGCATAGACGCACACACATACACACACCCCTCCCACACACATATTCACACATACATACATACATACATACACATACATACACAAACACATACATATACATATATACATATAACAGAGTAAATATTGTAAGTTTAATTCAATAACATTAAAACCAGACATATTAGTCTTGCAATAGAAAAGCATTATATATATCATTTCGTTCTTTCCATGCCATCGTTAAAAGTAATTTACAATGATTATCGAAAACTTTACTCGCAATAGTATAATTAATAGGGTTTATACAATTTGTTGTTACAATTTGATATTCGTAATGGATTTCTAAATCATCAAACAAAAGATGGTATTTAAGTTCAGGGGAGCTTGATGTGAATAATTCCCAAAATATATGTAAATCCTTTTTATATAACTCCTCTTTAAGTTGGTCAAATATTAAAGTTCTAATGTTCTTTAATCTGGTACAATCAAATACAAAATGATTGATGGTTTCCTTTGTCACGCAGTCACATAATAAGCATAAGCCTAAATTTTGAGGTGACCAGGATTCCTTTCTTCCTTCAAGAGGTAGTGAGTTAGAACGAGCTTTAAATTTTGAACTTGAAGCATGAAAGTTACACTTTTCTAATAAATACTTTTCCATTTTAGGTTCACTTTTGTATCTTATGTAATGTTTTAAAGATGATTTACTTAAAGCATTGTTATACCAACTTAAGTTATCTTTTTTAATATTTTTTTTCTTTGAAGCCATTAAGCCATTTTGTACAATAGTCAATGTTAAAGAACATTTGTAGATCAAACTTATTTAAAATGGATTCAATATTTTGAAGCCATTTCCAACTCAGTTTTTCTTTAAGCGTAAAGAGAGCCCTAAATAATAATCTTGGCCAGCGGTGTTCTTCCATATTTTTTAGTCTATAAAAGTAAGTTAGTAATCTTTCTGATTGAATAGATTCAATTGTTTGCCAGCCAAGTAGGCCTAATTACTTTTTTAAAAGATGATAATAATTATTATTATATACTGTTTTGTTAATTTTATTCTACATTTTATGAGATAGGGATAAGAAATACCCTCTACCTGAAGCTTCAAATAATAATTTTAGATTGATATAGAAAGTTTTCAGTGACTAAACTTACTAGATTCGTCACAATTCTCTCCTTTATAGCCGATGGAGCAGTTGCAGTGTGGGATCCCGTTGATGTCTGTCTTACAGTTGCCTTTAATGCATCGGTAATCTGGAGCACATGTTCCTGAAACACAGAATCATTAAATTTAAATTTAGATACTTCGATATTTTTGGCTGCAAAACATCACGTGACAATTACAATTTATATATGTTTTAACAATGTATCTAGGTCTATATTTATATATATTATATACAATTAAAATATTGATAGTAACAATAAAAGCAGCGAAAACAAGTAAATCCTAAAGATAAAAACAATAACAATAATCATAGCATTATAGTAGTCTAGAGCATACAGATAATGCCCTTTCATTGTTTAGCAAAGTAAGGATTTTCGAAAGTCGCTTTGAGTCTGTCAGTGAAGCATAAACATTTTAAATGTTCAAATTCTGAAAGAGAATTGTGAAAGCTACAATCACATCGGATTCGAACTGAATTTCCGAACACGTTTCTGATCGGTTCCGTGGTAGGCTTTCCTAACCGAAAATTGGGATTCTTTGAAAATGCAATTATTTTGTAAATGCTTCCTTTAAATGTCGCCTAATATTTTGAAGAACATACCCGGTAAACTGATCTCACACTGTATCCCTGCATACCCCTTGGTACATAGGCATAAAAACTTATTACCGGTTTCGCTGTTGAAGCAGGTTCCACCATGCAGACAAGGTAAACTATTGCATGCTGTAAACAATTAGTTATTTCAATTTAAATTAATTTCGTACAACCTCAAAAAATGAGAAAAAAATATGGTCATAGCTCAATAAACCAAAACATAATTATATTGAAAATCCTAACAAATAAAACATTTAAATATGATACTAGAAAACTCAGTCAATGATCATTGTTGCAAATAGCCGCAAACTCGTGGTGATGACAATCAACCAATTTAGTTGATGCTTAAATATAAAAATAAATAAATATCAGTATAGTTAAGATTACATCGTTTTACAAGATCAAAATAATGTGTTTTGAAAAGTGTTGCTATCATTACCCACGATAGTCAGTTAATCGGCATTGACAGCGGAATCTAGATATATTATGGAAAATCAGATAGTCGTATAAACTTGAAAAAAAGGGGGGCCTTTGTTTTTTTCTTTTAAATAACATATATCACGCTTTATAATCATAAAATAAATAGGATTACCTGTCTGTGCGTTAGAAAATGAAAGAAATAAAATAAAAACCAACAGTATGGAAACTGTATTCTTCATAATTATGAGTGTACGCTCTGCAAAAAAAAATGAAGGATCTATATACATATATAAAATGTACATACATAGGTTATATACAAATACATCATTTAAGCATAAGATAATAATAAAAAAATATTAGCATTAATTATTAAAATAACATACACCAACACCCTACAACACCCCCCCCCCCACACACAGATACGTAATAAACATGATGAATAAACAGAGGCGAAAACATTACCTCCTCCAACTTCCTTGGCAGAGGTAATAATAACAGTACTCAGATAGTCCTACATATCAAGCGTCGGTGTATGAAAGAGAGTTTATAGGGATTAAATTTGCACCTATACCGTCTATTAGCCTATAGGTCTGTATGGTCAACGGTATAATCCTCGCCTTGATGCGAGAGGCTGCATGTTCGAATCTACACTTTTAATACAACTGAAGGGGGGAATGTGATATGGTAATAACATGTGTTTCTATCTGAGCACTGTAATTATTATTTATCAATTTCTTTATATTAAACAAATAATTAATTTAATAATTAAATTATAAGTATATATACATATAAATTAGTATATAAGTATATATATATATATATACAGTATATATATAATATAAATCAAGATAGCCGTTAACACTGTTAAATTATATATAAATTATCAAAGAAAGGTAAATACAGTGTTCGAATAAAGGACACAATAATACATCGTGTAGCATAGCTCTCAACGAATGTAGTCCTTTCTTTGATAATTTATATATACATATATTTATTTATATGTATATATATACATTTATATATATATATATATAATTACAAATAGGCCTATGTCTGACTTGTGTCCTCATCAATGTGGAGGACATTGCTGACAAGAATTCACGGAAGTGGTATTTGATAAGAAATTTAAAAAACAAGATAATTTATACATACATATATATATATATATATATATATATATAGAATCATGATAAAAGAAATTTGCCTGTTTGTCGACAACGTTCATGCATAATATTCAATCAATACGTTATGGTCATATTCGTTTTGAAATGACCTTACAAAGCACGCATAGGCAGATAGTTCTGTAACGCTAGCCAGTCTGAAATACGTCTCAATTTTTACAAATATTGATAAAAAAAAAAAACTAACCTTAAATTGTAAATTTTAGAAGTGACTTCCTTAACTTTGACTTCAAGAGATCCTAGAACGCGGTAGATATTCATTAAAATTGACGTTTGTGTATTCTGTCGTTTTGCTCTGCTATTTTTGTTTGGGCTGTGAGTCAGGTAATAAGCATATGAATACCGACCGTGTTGTAATATGCATCACAATTGGAACAATTGAAATTGTAGACAAACAGTCCTTACGTTCACGGTGCACGGTCCAGCGATCCCAACATGTTCTATTCAATTCACTCGACTGGTAAAATACTGTAAAACGTAAAAAATCAGTATTAACAGCCATAGGCCTACAGCGAGATGTCATTAGATTCAAATGTGGGTTTTTTTTATGCAAGTCACAAGGGTTCGTGTTTGTATTGAAAGTGACTACTGTATCGACAAAGTACTGTGCAAAAATCTGCCTATCGGCTTGGTTGAGGTTTTAGTTGAATTGTCTTGATTGATCACTGAAGTATAAACTTTAACGTCCATTGTTTGATTAGTTCCATTATTTCAATTAATTGTTGATTTTCTATAAACAAATCCATGGTACAATTGTATTCTAATGAATCACCTGTTATCAAGCCTGATCTAGGTACATACTTGCCTTTTTCGGTTTAAAATCTATCGTTTAGCGTTCAAGCGCCCATCACGAAATATTTATCTTTACTACTTAATTCATTAATAAAGATATACAGTTTGTCAATAAAATCTTCCAAATGATTAAATATCATCATAGGCCTATGCCTATATTGAAAACTTCATGTAATGAATCAAATAAGTAAAGCTATAGAGATCGACAGAAATAAAGGTTTGGTTGAGCTTTTATTTCCTCCATGGGTTGAGTTACTGACATTTTTACTGATAATATCCTGAAAATAAACTATTTTATTTATTCATGCGACTACTAATTGGCAGACACTTATTTCGTTTTAATTGAAGGCCAGTCACTTAAATAACAAAGTAAACTCAACGACAACAACAATTGTGTAGTTGACACTTAGGAAGAAATCGGGGAAATAAATTGTTTTCATAGAAACAAACCATTATTTTATAAGAATGTAATGGCCTCAGGGTTTAATTAAACAAGAGCGACCGGTCACCGGTCCCTGGCGCAGATGTCGGTGGTTGTGTTCTATGAATCTAATATATCTGAAAAAGGTCTGCAGCAAAACATTCCGTCTCTGAGTATGGGTGAATCTAGTCTGAAGTGCATTAGTTCTGTTGGAGGACTCGTTCAGGAAATTCGAGTGGGGGTGGGGGGGGGGAGCCGTGTGGGAGCTGCGGCTCCCTCCCCTCCCCCAATACAAATTCTCTCCTGGGATCACTCAAAATGAATACAGTACAGTATGAATATACTACAGTACTACTAAAATACGTAAATATGCATCAGTACTCGTTAGGCATAGCATAGGCCTACTATAATTATAACACATGTTATAAGCGTGATTTAAAAAAATCCATAAATCCCAGGCCATATAATAATAATAGTAATAATGATTATTATTATTATTAATATTAAAATGTGAAGAAAATTGTGCTAAAGGCGAAAAACAAAGTTGTGATTTGTTGATAATATTATAGTTAAGGGGACACCTTCGGGACCAAAACAAGTTTCCCCTTTATAATACTGTAGGGGTATCCCATGAATAGGAGCTGGCCGTAGTGTTAAAAGATACTTTTTTTCCCTTAGTTTGTGGTCAAAATAAAAAACAAATCCGGTTATTAGGGGCATTTGCAAATTGCAATTGAATGAGCGCTCTAATGCATCTGGAAAAACAAATTGTACGAAATGGGAAAATTTATGGTTTACAGTAAAATCTGCCACGTCTCTTGCTAACTGTATCCACAGTTTTGTCCGCGATTAATATAAGACCCACTGTCCAGATTGTTAAAAACTTCCAATCCAGAAATTGTTTTGTGATTACTATCTTCTTTTATCATGGTTGTTGGACAATCGTTGCATATTTATCAGATTAATCATCACTCTTAAAATTTCTCAAGTAGGTGTGTCCTTAAAGCTTAGTAAATTATAGTTAGGCAAAGTTGTCCTGGATATTAAGTAGATCCCTGATAAAGTACATGAGAAATTTGTTGGCGTTTCATTCTGACTATGTGATGATGAATTTTACTATGTCAAAGTGTCATTTCCGGCCATCTAAAGGTAATTTTTCACCTCAGCCCCAACCATGGTGGGGCTGAGGTGGTTGTGAAATCATGGTTTTGAAGTATGTAAAGAACATATTCAAAGACAATTTTGCTTTTAAGGTTGCCGAAAATCCCTGATAAAAGACCATGAGATTTTTTTTGGCGCTTCATTTGGACTAATGGTGATGTGATGATAATGAATTTTACTAAAAGTGTCGTTTCTGGCCATCTAGAGGTACTATTTCCTCAAATTTTCGCACCTCTCCAACCAAGGTGAGTCTGAGGTGGGTGTCGACTCACAAAATGTCCTCCCCCTCCACCTTTCAAAACAGATCTGCGCCCTTCCCTGACTTAGAGTATGTCTGGACTGCTGAGGAGAGGATGCATACATTGGTTGTTAGGATGTGATCTAGTTTTTCATGCCCATTTTTCGTGATTATGACTATTTTGGATAAGAAATGGAAAATATATTCAAATTTAAGTATGAAAGTGTAATTTCCGGCCATCTAGAGATTCCCTAATCATAAATATTCTTACCTCAACCACAACCATGGTGGGGCTGACGTGGGTGGTTCCTCAGTCTGTGAAAGTCCCTCCCTGGGTCACCTTTCTTTCGAATTCTTGGATCCGCCACTGTTGATTTATTATAATTATTGTTGGGCCTAGTAATATTATTTATGTCTAATGCAATTTTCACTTTATCCTCTCAAAACTTTATCCACTTAAAACGTTCAGATCAGAGTGCGCTACTTCACAGGGGTGGGGGTGCGTCCCACTGGACCCCGCCGGGGTCCTACGTACCTGGCATAACTGCTCCCCTCCCCCTTTCAAAATCCTGGCTACGTCCCGGGGGGGGGGGTGGTTCGCAAGAAAAGAAGGGAATTTGCTGAAAAGGGAAGGGGATTTGTCCGAACCATAACCCCCTCCCCTTTACTGGTTACAGGCATGAAAAAAGATATCCTGGTCATTTTCACTGATTATTGTAAGTATTTGTAAGTTTCAAAACCAGAATTGATAGAGGTTCCTTATCAAATGTGTTTGTTCCAAGATTATGTGATTCAAAATTTATCTTGAAGTGGAATCAGTTGTTGTATGTTTATCGGCACAGTAAACATTGCTAGTGTAGAAACATCGTGCTGTCATTAATTAATTGACTTCTGTTGGGCCTATAGTTGAATTGAATTGAAAATGTGACACAGGCTCGCACATAAATGTAATATATTGGGTAGTGAGTGAAATCAACTGCAGTTAAACTTGCCTAAGCCAATCTAATTTTGCAATCCAAATGATCGCTTTCCTTTAACAATCTGTAAGTCAAATTTTACATTTCAATGGAATTTTGGATTCGACTTAGGCGAGTTCAACGATTCACCAATCAACCGTAAATAGTGGTTTTAATGTAAGCTGCCTCCACTGACCTAGTTCAATACTATGGATGATATGGTTATGTGACCAGATTTTTCTTAATACAATCCTCCACAGGTAAGTGGTGCATTCTTTCTTTTAATATTTTTAGCTTACATACAATTCTTGCTGCCCTGTTTTGATTTGTTTGCAATTTTGCATAAGATTAGATCAAAATCGCCAGACACTTTTTTCATAAAACTGAAATAAAGGAACTTTTCGTTGATGAGGCGAGACTATTTTTATACCTTATTTAGCGAACCTGCCGCCCACCAATAACGATGTTTTCGAATAAAAATAAAATTTTATTTTTGGCCAATATTAGCGAACCTGCCGCACAAAAAACAAAGGAAATAAACAAAAAATACTGTAAAAGTTTTTCTTTATTTTCATGTGCCTTGAAATCTCAAAATATATGTGTATCTTTTAAGCATCCCGTTAGCACACTGTTTACATTCACTAATAAAATTTTATTTTTATTTTCTCCTCCCTCTAAGTGTTTTTGGCAAAACTACAGTACAGTATTTGCTAAATACCCCTCCTCTGCCTGACGATCTATAAACAAATCAGTTCGCAAAACAAGGTACAGGTCTCGCCTGAACTATGCTTGACACGATTATTACATGTTCCTATTTGAGCACTGTTATTATTTATCTACTGTATTTATATTGTGTTTACGATTCTATGCAGCAAACTTGATTCAAATATTATTCACTACGATTTCCCAGCTGCGAAGGACCTATAAGCTTTTCTAGCTTAACCACAGACAGCTTCACTATGTGTGAGCGATTCATCTCCGCGCACCCCCTAGATACACCACTGGTAATAATTGTCTTATTAATCAGGCAAAAAAGAGCTATCCACCTGAAATGTAACTCTGAATAGTTTTGGATAATTTTCCTCCAATTTTCATTTGCTTTTCTGCTGTGAATTTTAAGGACTAAACATTAATAATTTCGAAATGGACCAACAAACTTTGAACACTGACAGTCCTTATTATATTAACTGGACTTACTTTAGAAACTACTGGAAGTATATTTATTAGAAAGAATATAAACCAAATATTACCAACATATTTTGAATCATTTATTTTCAAAATGTAAAGAGCACTCAGAATGTACATGTTTTATTAAAATTGTCATTCAAATTCAAAACTATGTATTGGTGTATTCAAACTTATTTGTGTTATGACCTATTTATTTAATGACACATCAAAAAGGTTATGCATTAAGATCCAATAAATGATGAATAACAAAAAATCTTAAAATAAAATGAAATTAAAACGACAAAACATGCTTAAAATGACACATGGCAGTGGCAGCGCCAGGTCGATTGACATGGGGGTGTGCAGCACTAAGCTGTCTGACTAGAGGTCACCAGTGGGGTCTAGACTCTGGTGGGACCCGATGCCTAAATCCCTTAGAGCTTAAAAACACTAGGCTAAATATTACATAGAATTTTTTTTTTCTCCCCAACATCAGGGGCCTGGCACTACCACTGTATTAAATACAAATACCCATACAGTACATTTTTTTTTTTATAGAAAAATCAAAGTGCTATTGTTAAGGCATATTTGCACAGACAGCGACAGTAGCAGAAAAAGTGGAACGTGTAATGATCTATATCGTAATCCACACTGAACGCGACTACACAGCAAAACGATGTGATGCTTTGCATATATTAATTTGCACAACAAAAATACAGTATTGTGACCAATCAGCGATTGGCAAAAAAAAAATTACTTGTGTCACAGATGTCATGCGCTGGGTAAATGGATTGCACTGTGTGACATGTTTTTTCTGTCGCTTGAGGCTCTCATGCTGTGTAAATAGGCCTTTAGGATGATAATAAATTGCTATTATTCCTCTGCGGACGTTCATCTCTTTCATCATCCGTTTTCCACAAAGTTGTGATTTTAGAATGAGGGGGTATGATTTACCAATCATCAACGACAATCAAATAAAATTTGACATTCTTCTTTCAACAAAGCCCTTATCCAACACCATTGCTTCTGTAAGCAATGCTTATTAGTGCATAACAGACTGACTCAGTGACTGACTTATTCAACATAATACACTACCAATGCCTAGTTTGTCAATAATGAAATATCTACAATAACTAAATACGAAAACCTTAGTATTTTACAGTCAAAAAGAAAATAAACACATGTAATAAATACACAACTTAAGCTAAATTTATACAAGATTTAAAAGATTACATCTTCGCAAAAAACCTCATAGGGTATTTCATTCTCCAGCAATGCCACCACTTTAAAAATGGCAAATTAAATTCAATAGATTTAAATTAATTAGTGGAATAATTATCATTCTTAATGAGGTCTGTATGTAATAAATCTGTATTACATACAGAGGTGAAAAAACCCCCAAAACTAACCTCATAGAGTATTTCGTCCTCCAGCAATTCCACCACTTTAAAAACGGCAAATTAAATTCGATATATTTAAATTAATTAGTTGAATAATTAACATTCTTAATGAGGTCTGTATGTAATAAATCTGTCTTACAGACAGGGGTTAAAAAACCCCCCAAAACTAGTTAAATTTAAATTCTGCATATCTATGAAAACATTTTGCAGAAATACAATGTTATATGATATACACAAGTTACAGTTTACAAAATTACAATTACAGAAGACAGAAAAAAAGATACTGTAGTGTATACAATCTTTATAAACAGTACAATTCAATTCATTGTTTATTAATTGTGTGGCACGTGTCCACTTTGATAGTACAGTATTTTAACAGCAAGGTCATATGCTAACCTCCATAAAAAAATAATTAAAAGACAAACAAGGTGAGAAAATACACATAGCCATAAACAATGAGCTTCTTATTTTATTTCATTACTAAAAAAAAAAAAAGAAAAATAAATAAATAAAATTTCATCTCTCATGAAGCTGTGGGAAAAAGAATTAAAAATCAAATACTGAAACACTAATCACATCAATTATTTACACAGGTGAAAACAGCTGAATAGATATAAAATGGTGACAACCTCCTTAAACACACTTTCCCACCAAAACACCCCCTGAGATATTCTAGCATAACAGTGGTGGATCCAGAAGGCAGCGTAGGGAAAGCAGCCAAAAAAATCAACCAAGTGTAAAAAAACTAGATTTAAAAGGCTGAAACTACAATGCTTTGAGGGCCAACATTTTCCTGGACATGGGTAAGGGAACACCCCAAACCCTTCCTCTTGGACAATAGGTCCCTGATTGTCAATGGCACCCCCACTGGCTAAAAAAGACCTGGATCCGCTACTGATAAAAATAGATCAAATATTATCATACTTCAATCATGATGACTGTTTAAATCTTCTTCCCCCTCCCCCTCAAAATATTCCCAAGTTATGAACACGATGAAACTTCAATGTTGTCAATTCTTTGGAGATGACAGAACAGAATAAAATATCCTTATTCTATGACTTAGTACTGTTTTGAAATTTAGTAAACCTTTGGAAATATTCTGTAAGGAACTCTTTGAGTGTACTTGTCCCAAGCTGCACCATACTTCTGATGGCAGTGGTGGTCATCACGCCTTTGTCGGTGGATGAGCAATCCGGTCAAATAAAACGGATAGTAATACACGATGACGCTTTGGAAACCTAAGATAGTGAAATAAAAATCAAAACAGATTTAAATCAACAAGCTCACAATTTCACAGAAATATTGCATGATAAATTTGCATAAAATTTGAAATGCTCTAAAAGAAAACTTGATTGTCTAAAAAAACAAAAAAAAACAAAGGACGATTGTCAAAGGCTGCACTGCCAAGTATCATATTAAGTTTTAAGCATTCAACCATATCCAGGCTACATGCCTAAACATGGTAATGATGTCATCACATCATCACCATGTATGGGCATACAACAGTTTTTTTTTGTCATGAGAAAATTTAATAGGACAGATCTTTATGGTGTAGTTAATATGGCAATCCCATGAGAATACCATGCTTACATAAATTATAATTACTATATCAAATGATGGTAGTACTCACCACAGCATAGAGACCAAGAGAAGGCCATCAAGATATCACCAAGGTAATTGGGATGTTGTACCCAGCCCCACCAGCCACCTACCAGAAGCTTCTTGTTCGGTGTCTGTATCGTTTCCAAATCTAGAGATGAAAGCCACAGATTTTATAGGAAACTAAAAAGGTGAAGTTGAATATGATAAAGCTCTGTCTGCACTATCAAATTTTGTGTGACAAATTTGTGTGATGTGCCCATATATGGGCATATTGATGTCACATTACACCCAAATATGGGCATATCACATTCACTTGCCACATAAAAGTTGATAATATGGACAGAGCCTAACAAATGCTACTTTATTTTGATAAAAAATGTTTTAAATTATCAGGTAATTAGTACTGTAAATTCTTATTACATGACTACTGTAACAATTTACTAGCACTATTAATTAAGAATATTTAAGACTAATTAAGATATGAATGATACAATTACCTTGCAGACTAGGATTGTTGGGGTTTTTTCGGAACATGTTCTTTTGAAGGTTGGATGATCGAAAGATATAATAGCCAATAACTGTAAAAAAATAAATAATTAGTTTACAAAAGATAACAATATACCATTACTATACCATGCATTCAACTATTAAAATTACACTTTATTGCAGGTCTAAAGCTATGGGCACTTTAACTGTGCCCAACGCGATTCTATTGAGAATGCAACGCCATGAAGCTTGCGCAGCGGATCGCTATTAATGACTGACCATTCAGACTGTCACTGACAGCATCACACCATTTATCGCCCACTGGGAGCGGAGTTGGATTTTTCAGCCGACAGTTGTACGACCGTTGTTCGATGCAGTGACTGCCCGTCTTTACAGTAATCACCACAAGCACAATTTTCAATCAGTTCTTCTTCATCTCCCACATCCTGCGATTGAGCAATAAAGGGGTCACAAGCTGCACGAAGATGTATTCATTCAAATTCCAAATCCATCTTCATGCATGTTAGTTTAACAATAACGAACATTTGTATAGTCAATATGGTTGCAACACCATAGAGCCTTGATTAAACAACCATGTGCATGACAATCACAATATTCAACATTGAAGATTACTGTGGAGTACAAAAAGCGTTGTTCAGGCTACCAATTTTTTAGCAAACCCAAAATTTACCTCACATCCCTTGCAACCCTTATTGTCCTAGAGACTTCTATTTTTTGAGGAGCCATGGAGTTCATGACTTCATGATTGGAGCCACTGATTTTCATCGGAAATGACAAGGTCGAAAAGATGTTTCTCGTTCTCAAAGATATGATACAAATATTTTTGTTTTCAAATAAGTAATTTTAATTTCAATAATTCTATAATTTGAGTACCTATTGTTGAAGATTTGCTTTAAAGTTTCTGACTATTTCTACATGTTGTATGACCAAAAATGCAATATGTATAAGCTGCATAAAAGTGAGTTAAAATGGGCTAGGATTGAGCTGTTGGAGGTTCACTGTAGAGGTTAAATATTTACTGCCAATATTGACAAAAAATGGCAAACAAAATATGGGTTTAGAACCTGGGCATCCAACCTAGTCCTAGACTAATTTTCCTGTTTGGACCACAAGATTTAGCACAGCAACAATGGTGCCATGGCTGTTTACATGTGATGAGAAAAAAAGATGCTTAGTAGAGTTTTAAAAATCTGAATTGTTGATTATTGTGTACAATTTTTAAAGTACGCTATGGCCAGTCTTAGCAACTGAGTAGTGAATGAAAAAAATGAAAATTTCCAATAGCCAGGCAACTACCACTAGGGACTTTCAGAGGCCTAGCATTTCACAATACTTAGTTACTATCATGGATTAAATCAATGATGAAACTAAATTGATAACGAGCAAAACATATTAAAACGGGAAAAACAGGAAATGTTTATTAAAAACAAGTCTAAGTCTTAAAAAGCTGTTTCAATTTTTACATATATACAGTAAATAGCAAGATCGTGTCTGTTGTCTACTGCTGGTATGGCAAGGGTCTAGCCGTGCTATCTGCTGTGCAGTGCTTTATCTGTAACTAGCCAGCTGCTCAGGCTAGGCCGCTGGAAGTCCCCCAGTGAGTTGCGATACGTTGGTGGTGCTGTTTCAAAATAAATCCGATAAAATGGTCTATACCACAGTCGGTAGGCGACTTGTGTAGGTTATGTTAGTAAGTGTTAGGATATATACAGCAGAGGTCTATTTATTAATACATGAAATGACATGGATTAATTATGACAGACAGAGATTGATAGATATTGTAGGTGGACATTTACAATGCCACAAGACTTATGGTCAACAAAAACTAATGCCAAAATTTCTAATCAGTAGGTGATGGATAAATAACAAAAAAAAATTATGAGAAAAAGGGGCCACGTGTTAGTCAGGAAAAATTATGTGCTTGGTGCATAAGACAATGAATCTCGTTTTGGTTTTACTAAACCTATTTCAGATAGCTAGGTCATATAATTCTAACACTTTGCAAACCATTTATTGGATATATATATATATAAATTATATACAGTAGAACCACTCATTTTGGACACCCCTATAAGAGGCAGCTCTATTAAAAAGACTTTTTTTGGCCACAAATCATGGGAAAATACATATCTTTAACACTATAGAAAACCCCTAATTTAGGTGATACCTCTATTAAGGGGACACCTTTTGATAGCAAAGGTGGTGATAAAAGTTATAAATTAGTACTTACGTCCAAAACAGACAACAGCAGCCAAATAGTAGTTCCTGTAAGCAATTTTAAGGCTGTTATCAACAAGGTAGCGTGCTTGAAGGGAATACACAAATGGTACCCATGCTAGATCGCCAAACACTAGCATGAAACCAAAGCCATCGGATGTGATATCCATGGTTGTCAAGATGGCATCCTAAAAAAATAGAAAGCAATAGTACAGTTTGTTAATGGTGAAATAACCAGTGGCAGATCCAGGGAGCATTCAAAATTAAACTAAACATGACTAAGTGTAATTACATGACAAATAAACAAAATTGATGTACATCTTGGCTAGTCAGCTATGCTCATATTTTCTTTATTTTAGAATACATCAGTCTAAAACATCCCTGTTAATTTAGCATGGAATGAATCATAAGTGAAAACCAGTCATCAACAGTTAACAACAATCCCAATTTGGGCATAGTTATATTTTATTTATATACTGCTTTTTTTTTTTTTTTAAACCAGTAGCTTACCTCAAACCAGAGGGCATCTGCTACATACAAAGTATGGAAACAGACAAGAATGATTAAGGGAAGGTTATCCATTGCAGAGCCTTTCTCAAATGCTTTTAACAAAAAGCTCATGTCAATCAGTACCTATAAGATAAATCAATCATTTAAGTGCTATTCAACAACAATCAATTAATAAAAAAAGGTGAACTGCTACTTTGCTTTAAAAAAACCCTTTTCATACAATACTGGAACACTTTATCATTTGAGATGTATAAGCGATTGTAGCTCCGACCATGGAGGTATTATTGAGAAGGAGATCACTCAGCAACAGATCCCTTTGACTTGACGAACTAACATGTTCCCCGCCTGTGGATCGTGCACAGGCGTAATTTCACATTTTTTCATTGGGATGAATGGTTTGTCAGTGGAGAAAATGGCGTTCGGTTGAACACATTTTGCAACGATAGCAACAGAGTAGTATCACATGGTATTGTGACGTAACACTGTAAAACTCTATAATTAACAATGTTCCCCTGATTGGATTTTTTGGACTTTTATTATGTTATTATGTGTACATTTCAGGAACAGATTCCGCAAAATATTTCTGTTACAATCACTTCTGTGTATATTATAATTTTGTTTAAAGATCGATGGGTTTGACTATAAAGCTAAGGCAGCGTAAAACTGAAAATTACTCTGATTTTGGATTAAATTTTTGAATATTTAACCCTAAAATGACTTAGTTTCTTATAATCCTCAATCATTCCTTAATTAACATCTGTTAAAATTAGAATTATCGACTTTATCCAATTTATAAATTCACATTGAAATACACCGTACTTTTAAAGCTGGTGTAAATTTTTCATTAAATTCGAAACTCTCTTTTGTAGAAAATATTATTATGTTTGGTATTTCTTGAAAGATGAATGTATTAGCTTCAAGGTGGAAATGATTGCGCAGTCATAGTGATTGACTGTAAGTTGTGCGCATTGAGAAAAGGTCAGGGTTTGTACATTTCTAAACAAGCAAATTTCCAGGAAATTCCAGGTCAAATTTTCCAAATTTAAAGGACGCATTACATCGCTTAACAGTAAAATATTGGAAATATTACGATTGATTATAAAACATGTATGCTGTACTAATTTTAAATGCATATTAATTGAGTGTATATAAGTTTTATCTTACTCTCTAATTTGGAGGCGATGAATCTGTCTCTTTTTCTCACACTCGTGGGAAATTCTGTCTTTCTCACACGTGTATGGGAAAGTACCAATAAAGTAAGGTAGGGCTGATTGCTTGCAGTTGAACTGGAGTAAAATACTCTCCTCATCAACACGAGTGTGCGCGTACAACAATGGTCTTATCTTATCGCCTAAACGTGTCAGTGCCTTTGGTGGTACCGGCGCACCAGAAAAACGCAGTTCTTTTCTGGCGCCGCGGCGTAGAGTACACGCCCTGTCCAGGGTTGTTGTTCAGCGAATGCTTACTGTCTCTGTGGCAATGTCCCGAGCGAAGTAGTATGGATATACAGTAAACAATATAACCTTCTTTGATGGGTGTACGTTGCGGAGACATTAAATTATTTTATTTCATATACATTGGTGTTACTTGTATAAACTAAAGATGTACTGTATTATTAATTAAATTAATGGTTATGCTCTATACGTTGCGGAGACATTAGATTATTTTATTTCATATACATTTAGGTGTAACTTGTATAAACTAAAGATGTACTGCATTATTAATTAATGGTTATGCTCTATAGTTCTCTACACATCATCCTACTACTGTATTATTAATTTATTATTATTATGTCCATTTGAGGCATGTTGTGGCAAAATGGCTAAGTTGTAGCAAAAATTGAAATTCAAGTTATTGGTATTTTCAAATACCTGAATATGTGATCTTTAAAATGAGGGGTAATTCATTCAAATTGGACATTTCAAACCTAAGCTATTTGAAAGTGAAAGTACAGTACTCTTAGAGTCAAGATAAACAGGATTTTGAGTAATTGCCTTTCAAAGTTATTTGTGCATACATTGTTTAATATATTGAACTATGAACAATAGTTAACGTTAAATAAACAATTTGTTAACCACTTCCAGAGCTAATATTTTGAGACATGATTAATAAGACATTAAACTGTTGACCTATAGTGAAAAACAGATTTGGATTTTTAGCAATTTTTTGAGCTCCCATATTTTATAGCTCATTTACTCAATACTGGACTGTGCGACAACTTTACCATTTCGCCACAACATGCCTCATTTGTGCAAAACAAGTGTACACGTCTGGATATTGATGAAATTAAGTTCCCCACCACCAAATGCTCAGCAGGCTCGAGGCCGCGGGTCCGAAACCCTCGCTGTGCAAGTCCTTTAATCCATGTTTGTCTCTCTCTATGCAGTAGTATAAATGGTTACCAACATGAGTGACGAATTTCCCACAGCCTTGCAGTCTGGCCCAAATGCCAAGGAAGGTGAGAGGGGCACTCTGGCCTGTCAGCCCCCACCTTCAGGTTTCAACATTTACCTTATTATTTGGTAAATTTTAAAATCGTTTATATTAAAATAGGTATCAAAACATGAACATGGGCTTTTATTATTGAGCAAATAATAATCAATGTGTTATGAAATTTACCAACTTTAAATAAAATGCATTTTGTTTTGTTCGTTTGTTACTTACCCAACCAATCAGACCCGGTCGAAGTTCACAAAAAAATTTCAAGTCAAAGCTTCCAATACGGGGGTTCAGCTCATGGCCAATGAAGAAATCATAAATGGTGCAATCTGATTTTACAACAAAAACATTTAAATTAATTATTAAAACATATTTAGTTTTGCAAAGGAACATAATAACAATAATAATAATAAAAAATAATCAGTTCATATTTATTTTGAAATGGAATAATAATGTAACATAACTATAGGCCTACACATGTACTATATTAAAATTTATTTATCAAGTAAAGAAAATATATTTAAAGTGGAAGTTCACAATTTTGGGTTAAAATTCCGGACACAACCCAGGATTTTGCAATAAGCGGGCTAGAAACTCCCGAGTTGTGGTTGGTGTAAACGTCAAAAAATACAACCCGGATTGCCAAACATCTGGCATCGATGTGCGGGACGCGTAAACAGCATCAAAATCGATTCTGGAGCCTATCGCAGCTGCGTCAGGTAGGCCTAAACTTTTCAAATTAAACCCCCTGAGCTCTGGTATAGACTTGATATCAAAACTGCTGATTTAATTCGCATAATTTAAAAACAATCTGCATATAAATTCCTTCAATATTGAAAATAATTGCGGCTTCGTCACGACGAGAATCTCGAGTGAAGTGATGGTCACCATCACAACAAAAATTGAGGGCGGTATTTGAACCCGAATTCGTTGCCAGTGTAAAATGGGAGCAACCCGGACTTTTTCGTTCGATGTAAATGGGAAATGCACCCGGGATCACTCCGAAATTAACACAGGTTCATTCTGCCTTGGCAGTGTAAAAGGGGTATTATACAAGGTTTACAAAAAAAAACCTTGCATAAATCATAATTGTGACGATCCTACTATGAACATACACATAATTAAGCAAAAATTGTTACTCAATGCCCATTTGTATCAATATAAACTGTACCGTTATACTTACGAGAATTGCCTCCAGGAGCAAGCTGGTTGTTTGGTACAAACATTGACTTGATATAAAGAAGAACAGACATGACAAATGAGAAGAGAATAGATGCCGTCATCAGTGGCAGGAACTTGTTGTAAACCACTGTAACTGAATAGCCTTTGTGGTACAGCCCAAAAAATACCGCAACACTCACAAAGAATGCAAAGAAACCTGCAAGATATCAACATACTATAATAACAAATTTATTAATAATAGGGCTAGTCATTAACAGAGACTGTATGTCACAATGCGCATGATATTTTAATTTCAGAAATTATTAGTAAACTTCCAGTTTGAGGTTGAAAACCTACAGTATTCACCCCAGGCCTAAATCCATGGTTAATGTATTAAAATCAAAGTTTGAAAAGTGGACCTTTGAAATATTACTATTAGTGTTTTGGGCTCCTTAAAAAAGTTTTTACTATAAAATAAACCAAGCAAACAAAAACCTAGATTTTCAAGTCTTCAAGTCATTCGGACTTGGGCAACATTATTGGTCATTATTATTCAGTATAAAATAAAATAAGCCATGCCAGAGTGATTCAATATTTCAACCTTTTCATTATTGTGACTTGTTTATGATAAAGGTCAACCTCAACAGAAAATTATCAACCATCATTATCAACTTAACCGGGGCAATATCACCCATCATTGTCAATTATTAATAATTGATATTTGGGAGGTTTCTAATAGACTGAATCGGCGCCTCCAGCAATTACTGGTCATGTGACATATAGTGGGTACTAAATGTAAACAGCCACATTGTAAACCACAGTGCACTCAGATTAAACACAGTATATTGAGAGAGCTATGATGTTTTTTAAGACAGCGACCCAAAGTAAAGTAAGGCAGTAGGCCTGTCTTTTTTTAAATAGTGATTTATAATTACTTTGGCAATCTCCGTGAATTTTATTTAGGATGTGGAATGCTGCTAGTGTAAGCTACATACAGATATAGGCACTGTAGTGTTAAGCCTTGACCAGGGACCGGACCAGGGAGGGAGTTGTTATGCCTCGACTATATATCTCTGTCGTCGAGTAGGTAATAAAGCAGAAAATAACCCTTAACGGTATTGCAGGCCTCAAATTTTTACCGTGGCCACTGCCGACGGTGCCCTCCCAGTTCGCCTTGGTGCCCCTGAAAATGAAGCACGACGACGGCAACTACTTGCCTGCCCTTTTGAAGCATTGGCCTCGATGCCCTCACGATGCTTAATATAGATCGTTTGACACGTAAAATAAATCTAAGTAAGAACGTTTAAATCTTGAAAGAAAACACGAAAGCCAAAAACATAAGTCGCCTAAGCTAGCCTAGGCTAGGCCAGGTTGCAGTGAAAGAACAGAACATGAGAGAATTTCATGTTGATACGAACTGTTTTTGCAGTTACCGTTGTGTGCGCATGCGTCTTATTCTAGAGGTTATTGCAATATAAACATGGGCTCATTCGACTGGTTCATTTCGTTGGAATGAATTTTCCTTGAGTATTATTTTCATTCGACTGGTTCGTTAAATAAACTTGGTTGACAACGAAAATTAACTTAAACCAGAGTGCGTTAATGAGCGTTAAGTTATCCACGTGACCAAAGAGAAACATGGCCGATTGGCGATTTTTTATTAACAACATTTGCGTTAATATAACTTAGATCAAATTTCATAAAATAAACATTATTACCCACATGGAGTCAAAAAATTATTGTAGGCAAACAGAATAAAAAAAACTTGATGAAAATATTTTTTTTAACGAAAAACCCATACTACCACAAGTTGAAGCAGTCTTGATTACGCAACGTGTATCGCGGTAACTATACAGCCATTTTGTTTTGTCAAGTACTTTCAAGTTTTCTATTTGACTGGTCATCTTCGTTGAATAGGATGTTACCGAGCGCTGCGCAGGTGGCCGTAGTTTAACGAAGAACGACCAGTCGAATACGGCCTTTGTATAGTTGTAAACATGTGCTTGCTGCACAGTTAACTTTGGGCGATCTTACTTCATCGCAGCTTTTGTGGCCAGTTTAGAGTTGTGGCTTCTTCTCCGATGACGACGGACTGAGCAACAACGCAAAGATATCAAACTTCTTGAAATTTGACTGTTTTGTACAATCACCGACTGCCGCAGTATATTGAATCGATAATTAATAGTTAATACTCTAAACAAAGTCATATTACCATTGACAACTATGGCTTGGCTAGGCCTAGCTTGGCTTAGCTTGCCTAGCCTGGCTATGATGAATCAAGGCACTCGGGAGAAATTAGTACTGAGGCTAAATCAAATTTTGCCTTGGGTGCCCTTTTATACTTGAAATTTTGGTCTTGGTGCCTTTCCATTTGGCCGTGGTGCCTTTCAAAATCATGCCATTTGGCCTTGCCCATAAAATCCCCAAATTCGAGTCCTGGTACTGATTGCTCAACCGAACTTGGTCTAGCAAACAGGCTGGCGATATTAGGCCTTGTTGGTATGGTACATCATAATACCAGTAGGTAATAATGTTTGTTTATGTCATATTATGATCATCATCCTCGGCAGAAACTAATAACATCCTATGATTTAATTTTGGATTTAAAATAACTGTAAAATAATACTCTTGCAAAGAATGGGGAGATTCGTTTTTTTCATGCTGCGATAGCAATTGCCATGAATAATATTCTTGACTTGGGCCTAAAAAGTACCTTAGTATGTAACGTGTTACTGCCTTTGGTGGCAATTTTCCATTCGGCGCATTTACCATTTGGCCCATTCATCATTACGTACGACTCTTTTACCATTATGTACTGATCTTTTATCATTACGTACGGCTCTTTTATCAGTTACATACGGCTCTTTTATCATTATGTACGTCTTTTTCATCATTACGTATGGCTCTTTTATCATTTGGTGCTTTTACCTTTCAGCCCTTTCATCATTACGTACGGCTCTTTTATCATTCGGCACTTTTACCATTGGGCCCTTTCAGTATTCGGCACAAACATGACCTTTAACATCGGGTTAAGTGAACAATTTCAATGGCTGGGATGAGACTAGAGGAAAATCGCACCTAACAAAGCATACTCGACATCTGATTATCTTATTCTTAGAGATGAATAATAACTTACGATAAAAAAAAATGTCTCGATCAATCAAAGTATTAGAAAACCTGGATCCACATTTTCTTGTTCCTAAGTTTGAAAAGGAAAGGGTACGTTCTATTAGGCCTAATTGTTTTTTCCCCTCAGGATTTAGGTGCTTTTTTAGGGCATATAGAAAAAAATATTAGATTATCACTCTCGTTTAAAAAATAAATGGCGAGAGAGGAGGTTTTTTTTCTTATTCCGGATATGGAGTAGCATATTTAAATAAAAGAAATGTAATTAATTAAGGAAACTTAGTATTTATTTACAACAAAAGATTTGCAGAAGTCCCAAGTTGGAAGAAGTCAATTCCAGGAGGGGAAGAGCAACCCCTCCCCTGTTGGAGAAAAACCACAATTTAGTAGACTATAAAAACCCTAATTTTCACGCCACCTGGACAACTTTCTATATATTTTGAAACTCCCGCGATTAATTATATGTATGTGTATATTATAACAATGGTGGTGCTGTAGGCATACATACAACATAAAATAGGCCCTAAATAGGGAGTCAAATGGTATCAGACTTTGCCACAAAATTTTACCTCACGAGGGAAAAGTGGGCGTAATCGCTGGAGTTCCAAAATATATAGAAAGTGGTCCCAGGCAGCGTGACAATTTAGGAGTTTTAGAGTCTACTAAATTGTGGTTTTCTTTCCCAGGGGAGGGGTAGCCCCTCTCCTGGGCTTCTTCCAACTTGGGACCCCTGCAAATTTTTGTTGTAAATAAATAATAAATTTCTCTTAATTAATTACAGTTCTTTTACTTAAATAGGCCTACTCCATAATCTAATTTATTTTTTTCTACATGCCCTAAAAAAGCACCTAAATCCTGAAGGGAAAAGCACAATTAGGCCTATAGAATGTACCATTTCCCTTTCAAACTTAGGGACAAGAAAATGTAGATCCAGGTCTTCCAATTTATTTGATTGATCGAGACATTTTGTTTTTTTCCATTAGTTATTAATGATCTCTAAGAATAAGCTAATCAGATGTCGAGTATGCTTTTTTAGGTACGATTTTCCTCTAGGCTCATCCCAGCCGTTGAAATTTTTCACTTAACCCGATGTCAAAAGCCATGTTTGTGCCGAATACTAAAAGGGCCTAATGATAAAAGAGCTGTACATAATGATGAAAGGGCTGAAAGGTAAGAGCACCAAATGATTAAAGAGCCGTACGTAATGATGAAAAAGACGTACACAATGATAACAAAGCCGTATACAATGATAAAAGAGCCGTACGTAATGATAAAAGATCTGTACGTAATGGTAAAAGAGCCGTACGTAACGATGAAAGGGCCAAATGATAAATGCGTCGAACAAAAAATAGCCACCAAAGGCAGTTAACAGCGTTCCATACCTTAGACGGCGACGACTCTGCTGGAGCAATGCACGTCGTGAAAGTATCATACCTTGCCTTGAAAAACTTCCGATAGATGTAAACAAACCCTAATACCCACTATAAGTCATATGTTTTTACCTAAAAATAATTACAAAATTAATATTAAATTATTAAAAAATGTTTGGTATATACCCAATTTTCCCAAGTTTATATTCTACATACCATTGAGACGGTATTGCAGCCTACTTCCATTTTTCAACTGTTGTCCTTGGCAAACCTAAAATGAAAATGAGGTAAGTCAATCTATAAACAATTAAAGGCAGGCATTGACATTTTTTAAAGCTGAGGCTTAAAAACCAGAGTCTAACAAATTCAGCTCAGCTAGAAAGTTGTAATAGAAAAGTTTTGGTGACACTAAGCAATTTATTAATATGATGGTTAGTGTTTTCAATGCAATAATTGGAAGTCCTAATGTACAAATGGAGACATTGAGTAGTAAGTATACTAAGAATCTAGCATGTCAGCTCTTCTCTTGCACTGTGCTTTCAATTTTTAGAGATGAGCTTTCCTTGCAGGCCTGGCAACTGAGCTGAATGAAGACATGTGTTATTGTAGTAATCAAACTTACCTTGCCAATTGGAAGTATGTAGAGAGCAGCTTGGAATACCATCCAACCCAAGAAAATCATGTAGGCCTCAAAATCATAATAATCCTTCCAATTCTTGCTGAAGTCGGGCTTTAAAGTCAACTCACACTTTTCCTTTCCACAGACGAAGTACAGGTAATACATGAACAGTGGAAGGAAAACCACAGTAAATGTTGCACCTAAGAAGCAAGAAAAATCAAAATCAGGTTTAGACATAATATTTATATTTACTTAGTTGATCTTTTATAAAATATATGGAATGAAACAGTTCGATTTTCTTCTACTGGTTGTTACTATGAACTTTATATAGGATTACGGCCGGGCCAGTTGTATGTAAATGTGAGTTTACTACACAACCTGAGTAATACTTCATTTCTGAGACACCAAAAGAAATCATTAAATACATATGTGGTGTGGTCAAGCCAAATCAGTCGCTTGTCGGAAATTCTGATGTTTAGATTATACAATATTATTATTTAGTAATGTATTCGCTTTACAATGGCGAAAAAATAAATGCAATCCGACTTTTGTTAAAAAGTTATAGACGTTTAAATTTACCTACGTTTGGGAGAAACCGTAAACACGTTTTCGGGAAATTCACCTTCAAAGTTTACCGACGCGCTGACAGCGCAGAGACATTCCTTGTTCCATGAGTATAGCTGAATACCTAGCCTAGCAACAGGGGGATAGCGTTATACAGCGTTCTTGAAATTTGGTCCAGTAAATACATTTTCTAACACCCAGATTTTCCTTTGTAACCCAAAGCAGGTTTGAAAGTTATTTAAGTTTGAATTCAGCCAAAAACATTAGTGATACATTCGTAATGCTGATCAGCGATACTCGATAGGCAGTCTACACTAAGCTAACAACAGGAAGTTAGCGTTGCTAAAAGTTTTGAAATTACAAAATATTGTTGAATCATTGTTCACTGATTTGTTGGTACTTATAAAATAAATGAAAACTGTACAAAAATAAGAAAAACTAGGCACAGGCCTAGCTTTGCTCCAATAATGCCATGTTTCGATTTTTCTGTGGCATTGTGGGATCGAATTGTAACTGTACGCATGCTCAGTTTTACATCATTATGTGAGTGACCAACCACAGGCATTATTTCAGCGTCATCGTCAAGGGAAAACGGATTTGTTTACACTATTTAAAATCGTTGTAATTGGTTAAATTGAAGTTGTATCATGACAATTGACCAATGACATAAAAGCTTATAAAATCCCCCCCTTTTTTTTTTGGTAACAAATATGGAGCAGTTCGCTTTCAAAATGGAGACCTGCATAGCGTCGGAAACGTGCAACTAAACAGGTAAAAATGGACCAAGTTTTTGACATTTTACAGTGAGATACCCTTCGTAAATTGTATAAAAATGTTCTTTTATCGTTGAAAATTGGTAAAATGTTAATGTAGCATGGATCTTAGATGCCTTATTGTTAATTTTAAGTCATAAAATACATTTCGATTTTTTTTGAAAATTTTAACGTATAACTTTAGGCTAGATTTCCTCCAGTTGATGATCGCCGACAAGCGACTGATTTGGCTTGACTGCGCCACATACATATCTAAAAATTGGCAAAAAATTAGTTAAATTGTTGGGACAGCCAAACTGGTGAGATCCATTTCTCAGGTAAAATGCAAAAATGTTTAATCATTTGCAGATCTCTTATCATAGACAGAAGAACCTATTTGGAGATTTCCTATAAAATTAGACACGCTTCAAATAAAATTGACGTAAAACTTCCTAACTTATGCAATAAACTGAATTATTGTGTAAATATTTCAAACAATAGTTGCCAACATTTTAAATGGTTGACTACATTACCTATTGGCCCACCAAACTCATAATGGGTCGTCTTGGCTACCCTGGATGAGAAAGACTGTAACGGCACGTCAATAGTCTGCTTTCCAGCCTTCACTGCAGAACGTGTGCCATAAGTTCTGGTTTCTGTAGTAGCCTGGGACTATAGAAGAAAGAGGTTAGGTAAAAACATCTTTATCTTTACACAGATATTGCATAAAATAAACCAGACTTCTGCACGAGCTGAGTTTACTAACTAAAAAGAAAGACCAATTCAATCTGAATTATAATACTCTACCATTTTATCTGTGTATATTAGCCAACCTTGCGTTTGCTGTCTGCCATTAGCTGCTCATTCCCAATAGGAGTTACAGGGATAAATTCTTATCTTTACAGACATCTAATCTGTAAACATGACAGTATTGACAAAGTGCATCACTGGTGGCCACCTTATATAAGGACCAGGGGCCAAGGTTTATCAAAATTGCTTAGCAAAAGAATTGGCTTGAATTCACAAGGAAAACATTCGCTTAAAATCAAACTTTAGAGATATGATACTGTCATCAGCTAAAAACATTTAAAAATTAAATTCCATATTTGAAATTCTAAATTTGTATCAGTTTATTGAAAGTTAATTAAAAGTTTGAAAGGGTAAAAATTTCCCAGTCAATACGGACATGTAAACAATACCTTAGAAAGTTTCCTGTATTCACTTTCATATCTGAATTGTATTAAAATGCCTGTAACCCACTTTTTTTTCCTGATAATCTGCTTCTGGTTGGATGTTAACTTATTTCATCCTTTTAAATGAGCTATTCAGAATTTTCTGCAGGAATACTAGGATAAATAATTTACATTTTCGTCTCAGTCACTTCCAAAGTAGATAAACTCTCTTGGTCAATGCACCATGAAGGGATTCCTCACTTAACATATTATTTCATTACATTATTTTTTATCTAGGCTAGTATAAATAGAAGAAATTTGAAGTTGAAATTAGATTATCTATTAAGAATAAATATGTCTATTTAGATACTGCTTGTTTTATTTTTATAATGAATAAAAATAAATTTTATGATGATGCATTCATTAGTTTTTTTCCTGGAATATTTCAACAGTCAAACAGCGGTGAATACATAACCTCCTTTGAAAGAGGTAGCACATTTTAAATCAGCTCATGGGCAATATAATTATTGTGTGAAAATTCTCAGTGGAATGTATAACTAATCAATTATTCGCTCTGTGAGTATTAAATATGTTTAGCGCGCAATTAACAAAAATTTACACATGCCTATAAAATTGACTAAAGTAGGTCTCCTTTACCTCAAACATGAAAAAGCATGAGTTTTCTGCAGTTTAATTTTTGATATAATGCAAAGTTAGTTGGGTTTGATAGTAAAATTTTGTTTATATCCCACTATTTAGTTATTTTCCCCTTAAAAGTTACTGTATATTTATCATTTTCTTTTTTGTTTGATGTTTCCTTGTAATTATTTTAGGATATTGGTACGTATCTGATGGCTTTCCTAGCCATGAATTAAATTGAAATAGATTAATGCCAATCAGAAATACTGTACTTACAATGCTAGTAACAATTCTTTTGGAGGAGCGTCTAGTAGGCGTTTCAGCAGGTGCATCTGTTTGGTCTTCGGCTGCATTATCCTTCCTGACTTCTTTCTGTTTCAGTTGTCTTGCAGGGCTTTGGGAAACTTTCTTCTGCCTGCCAGGCGAAGCTTTTTGCCTGGCAGGTGAAACTTTCCGCCTGGCTGGGGATCTGGAACGGCTCCTGCGTCTTCCTGGAGATTTAGACCGCGACCTTGACCGAAAAGCTTTAGTTTTCTAAAATATAAAAAAACAAAACAGGTTTTTTATTCAAAAATGTGTTATGGTTTCTGTCAGACCTGATTCTAAACACCAAATTTAGTTGCAACTTAAGGTAAAACTGGTAAAATGATGAAAAATGATTTAAACTTTTTAAAAGTAAGCTCACTTCAACTTACATCACAGAATACACACACCTGTCTTAGTCTTCTCTAAGACATATACCATGCTACAGTGCATGGAATAAAAAAACATGGATTAAAAACACATCACAGGAAGAAACTGTTTAATAATTATTCAACATCCAGCAATTCATTTGAATAAAAGAGGATGTACCCCTCAGCAAACTATTCACATTGCCTGGACATTGTCCAGCAAACATAGTCATAGAGGGTTAAATACCAGACCTTGATTTAAAAGGCACGCGATCGCGCTGGCGCTCCTTTGCGCTCCTCAAAAATATTCGAGAAGAGCAATCAAATGCGCTCCTGAATTTTTCTAGGGAGCGAGAAAAAAAAACCAAGTTTTATTACATAGCAGGCAACGTGTACGTTGTGTGTACTGGACAGTGAATAGATGAACTCTATACAACCTCTCTTTCTGCGCACAGCTACCACAGTCAGCGGCAGACATTGATGGATATTAACCACATGTGACAGCTAGGTATATGTAAAGTGTACTAACCTGGATACTAACAATTTTGACGTGTAATAAATGGTAGGAAACTACCATGAAACAAACTTATTATTTATTAACCTACTAAAATATTTATTATACAGTAGATCCTCGTTTTTACATACCCCAGTTAAACGAACCCTCAGTTTTATGTATGCCTTGTATTGGCGATGGGCATCAGACATCTTCAAAACCCCAGAAAATATTAATATTATTATTATTTCAATACTATAACAATGAACAAACCATATGCAAATTATTTTTATTAAGGCAGGCTCAGGTTGACACGGAACTCAACTCAACTCGTCGACATGAGCGCTCCGCGCAACTGAACGGAACTGACCGCAACTGACAGTCGCACATATTTGTCGACATAGTCAAGTTGGGTTGAGTTGAGTTGCCCATGTTCAACTTTTTGCGGAACTGAAAGGAACTGAAAAAAGCGCGATAAAAATGCTGATTCGGAACTCAAAGGAACTAAAAACGTTGATCCTGATATTATTCGTAATCAAGATTCATTAACTGAAAAAAGATATTATATTACAATGTTTTGTTAATGGCAGATTACTTTATTCTCTTTTTAAAAAAATATAGGCCATAGGCCAGATTTTTATTCTAACACATCAACAAATAGGCCTAGGCTAGGCCTAATAATAATAATAATAATACAGCATATACTTACCATATTCTAGCTAGCCTAGGCTATGCCTAAAGTGTAGAAAAAAGGCAGGCTTCCTATGCCAGGCCTACTAGCCTATGTCTAACTCTACGTACGACGAGTAAAGACTTGACAACTAACTGGCATGCAGGTCTCACTTCCAAAATCCATTTTTACGAATTATAAATAATCCAGTAATTCTTGGGAGTGTGCATTATTTTAGAAGTTAGTTTTGTACAAATTCTTTAACAGTAGAACATTTATCTAGGGCCTAGGTTTAGGTCAAGAAAAGCTAAATTCCTTTTTCAGAAAGTCCCTCTGCAGTGTATTATTAAATTATGAATTCTATCAAAAGTATGCTGCTGCATTCGCGTAATATTAAATTAATACATTTTTATAACATATTTGACTGCTGATTCATGTAAACATTGTCACGTATAAAATGCATTCGTGTATACTTGTTGTTTTTGTTTTTTCATATAGAAAAAGACCTTTCTTGTTTTAATTGTTCCACCAGATTTTGCATGAACCCATTTCAAGTAGACCAATATGCGATTCACTTTTCTAAATTAAAAAAAGAGTAAATAAACTTCAAAAATAATTTTATTATTTTCAACCACACGTCTAACCTTACAAGCATTCAAACATTTATTTGCAGTTGATGAGATTTCAAAGAAAATGAAATCCTTAAAAGCTCAATTCTGTCGACTACAAACAGGCACCATTTGTTTCAGTTGCCGGTCGACATTTTCAAAACAAAAAAATAAAGTAGATACACTTTTTAAAATAATTACATGTCTTAAATAAAAACATTACAGACATTTTGCAGTTGATGGGATTTCGCGGGGAAAATGTTTTTAGCCAATAGTTCCTTTCAGTTGCCATCGACATGAGCCAAGTTCCTTTCAGTTGCGTTAATTCCTTTCAGTTGCTCAAAGTCGACATGAGCTCAGTTCCTTTCAGTTGCGCTCATGTCGACGAGTTGAGTTGAGTTTCTTTCAGTTCCGTGTCGACCTGAGCCTGCCTTTAAACAGCAACGTTGATTGAGCGGGTGATTGAGTCAATACCGGTCTGTAATAATCTAAAACCATGTGAATTCAGCAAAATGAACAACTACTGTACAGATGGTGCTCAAAATAATTGCTTTCCTCCTTAGCTCCGTGTGGAAAACTCGTCTGACCGAATTTTCTACACGAAGCTGGGTAGGCATAATTTCGTACACGAACGCTAATTGGTTGGCTCGCCCAGTGCACGTGTTTGTAGTTGCACGTACACGAACGCTAATTGGTTGGCTCGCCAAATGCAGTGCACATGGTTTTAGTTTGTCTCAGCAGGCCCAAACGTTCACCGCAGCACTGTTGTTCAGAATAGGCATGAAGGGGAATTTTCAAGTTGTACCTTTGCTGTATAGGTAATCTTACAATATTTTCATGTTCTTTAGTTAAATAAAAGGTATAAAATGATGAATTAATACACTATACACATGGTTTTATTTGAACACTTTATTATGAAATCGTGACTGTCAAGTTGAAGTGACTGTAGCGTAATCCTTTGTGTTCTTTGCAATCATCTAAAAAAAAATCAGCACTTTGAAATGTAAAAATGAACTGTATCTCACGCCTGTGTATCTTCTCAAAAGAGAATTTGAATTTTTTAATTCACTGAAATTGTTAATTAAGTTAACTTACGGAAATATCTTTGCTTTTCACAATTTCCTCTGTTCCATCTTCAAATTTTAGTGATATATCATCGTCGTTGATATTTAGAACAGTTGCTTTGAACCACAGACTACTACCTGGCCATTTGGCTCGTACCTCCTCGTCTACTGCAAATTCTTTCTTGCTACGTCTGCTCATTTTTTGTTGTTGTATCCTTTAAATTGTAAATTTGAAAAAAAAAAAAAAAAACATCTGTGAGAGAAAGGCTAGGAATAGGATGGACTACACACTACACCTGGTCCTAACCTAGGCCTAGTTATACCAAAAAAAAAGTCTTATTTAATTGAGTAAATTGTTTTAAATTATGGTCCACCAAAAATATTTAAAAAAAAGGCAAGTTTGTATGTATAAAGTAATGTACTTGTCAATTGGATTAACCTTCGACCTAGGCCTTTCGAAATGCCAACTACTAGGCCTAGGCCTAGCCTAGACTACAGTAAATCGAATTGACAAAAATACACATGGTGACACAATCCTAGAATACAACAAACGTGGGACCATACAAACCAAAAATTGCCGCCGATCTTGTTCGCGGCCGAAACGGTCCTCTCCTAGCCTAGGCCTCCTTCTACTACTGGCCTAACCCTCTACGTCTACTCGCTACCTTACCTAGGCCTATGTATGGCCTGGCCTATGACTATGCCTTAGGTAGGTAGGCCCCCTATATAGACGAGTTGCCCGGTCTACAACCTAGCCTAGGGCTAGCCTACTACTACTACGGAAGGTCGGAGTAACAAACCTAAAATCATAGCTTCATATTTTGTTACAAGCATACAACAAATAAAAAGTTTACTTTATATTAACAATCCTAAACAAATATTTATCTCATGTGATTAAACTTCGGGTCTTTCTATTTCCTGAAATCATTAATTAAAGAGAACCTACCTTTGTTTTTTCCCAAAACCTTGCCGTAAACAGTAACACAAATACGAGTAACGGTAAACTCAAGCCATAGCGGGAATAAATCTGATTGGCTTATACATATTTGCATATGAATCATGACTTTCCCATTGGCTGATTGAAACGAATCAATTTCAACCGTTTTGATGAAGTGAGTGAGAATTAATAAGCAGGAATAAGCCAAAGCTGAGTTCTTTGTTCCCTGGGTATGATCCCCGGGGTCGTAATTTTTCCCTTGAAATAACGGATCAGACTATTCTTGGTTTCACGCAGATGTCGGATTTTCATCCGGATCGAACCCCCGGGGTCGGACAATTTCCCAGTGATTTAAACTTACTTGATTTCTCCGAGTCGGACCCGGGTTGGACCTATTGGTTGGACTTCTCAGTGTGGCGTAGATACGTACGGGCATTCATAAATTAAATAGACCTAATTTCCACTAAATATTTTTAAAGAACAAAACGACTAGCGGGCCCTCAATAATACTCGGTTTTTAAAGGAGTGATTATTGATTACTATGTTGATTACCAAGGAGGTATAAAAATAATAATTTTTAAACCTCCTTGTTCATTACTATGTTCATTTCAAATCAAGAGTAGGCCACACTCCAAGGGTACCCCCTTACTCAGCACCCCCCCCCGCCCAACCATGGTAGTAGGGCTAAGGCGGTCTTCACCCCCACCGTAAAAAAGTAAACTTTTTCCATACTTACCTGTATATATATCTGTCTCTTATACACATCTCGAACGCTAATTGGTTGGCTCGCCAAATGCAGTGCACATGGTTTTAGTTTGTCTCAGCAGGCCCAAACGTTCACCGCAGCACTGTTGTTCAGAATAGGCATGAAGGGGAATTTTCAAGTTGTACCTTTGCTGTATAGGTAAAATTTTGTTATGGATTTCTTTTTTAATAGTTACCGGTAAGTTATGAAAGGACTCCTTTAGATGCCAATTCAAATTTTGTGCTTGTGCTTTTTAGTATTAACTTAAAAGTAGGCATAACTTCTTGTAATTGTTGTTTATTATCAAGGGCCCGACAATTAATCTTGCACTGTGGCCCTTCGCACCTAGGTGACGCCCCTGGACTTTGAGTCCTCGGAAAAAGGCCCCAGAAAGATGTAAACTAGGGTTGGGGTTTCCATACTTACCTGTCTTGGTCGAGCCACGGCGGGGTTAGAAGTTTTCCCTAGGTAGGCCTACGATCCTAGCAGTCGGGAAATCCTATTGGAACATACACTGGGGTGGGGGAGGGGAGGGGGAGGAATATTTACCTACTTTTTACTTCTAATTTTATTATCTTACCACCGGGTCCTGAAGACATCGGAACTTGGACTTATTTGGGTCACGTCCCCGGGGCTGCATTTTGTTTATCATGGGTCAGGGACGTAGCCAGGATTTTGAAAGGGGGAAGCCGTTATGCGAATTATACGCCCCGGCGGGTTCAAGGGAGCGAATCCCCCTGTGAAGTAGCGCACTCTGAACGTTCTTAGGACTGTTTGAGAGGATAAAGCGAAAATTGCAATAGACGCATTATAAATAAGCGCAACAATAATTACCGGTATATAATAAATCAACAGTGGCAGATCCAGGAATTCGAAAGTTAAGAGAGGTGAACCAGGGATGGTCTTTGACGGACCGAGGATCCACCGACCTCAGCCACACCATGGGGTGAGGTAAGAAAATTTATGATTAGGGCATCTCTAGATGGCCTGAAATTACACTCTCGCACTTCAATTTGAATATATTTTTCTTTTTTTTCCTTGAGGGGGAGGGGCCTTGAATCCACCTCTGCTCAAAATATTCTTTATCCAGAATAGTCATAATCACGAAAAATGAACATGAAAATCCAGATCACATCCTAAAAACAAACAGCAGTCACTTAGACATACCGTACACCAGGAGCTGACTCGATGGAGTTTAATGTCATACCCAGGGAAGGGCACAGATCTGTTTTGAAAGGTGGAGGGGGAGGGCATTTTGTGAGTCGACACCTCAGCCCCACCATGGTTGGAGCTGAGGTGAGAAAACTTGAGCAAATAGTACCTCTAGATGGCCAGAAATGACACTTTTAGTAAAATTCATCCTCATCACATCACCATTAGTCAAAATGAAGCGCCAAAAAAAAATTCTCATGGAGAGCCGATTGGTAAATTTAGTTTTTCAGCAAGTTGTCAATAAATCACATAGGCATACCTATGGTATAGTATAGCTGACCTTGCATAGGCAATAAATTACAGAAGCTATTATTATAATCCAATTAAAGAGCAATTACCAGAGAAAGGCCTAATTGTCCAAAATGATGGTTGGAAATCAGGAAAATTTTTAAAGGGTAGAAACACCTCATGCATAGAGATCTTATTAATGCGTGTGTGATATAGAAAACAAAGCTTAAAAACATTGTCTTTGAGTATGTACTTTACATAGGCCTACTTCAAAAACGTTATTTCACAATTAACCACCTCAGCCCCTCCATGGCTGGGGCTGGGGTGAGAAAATTTGAGGAAACTATAGTACCTTTCGAGATGGCCGGAAATGACACTTTTATATAGTAAAATTCATCATCATCACATCACCATTATTCAAAATGAAGCGCCAAAAAAAGATCTCATGATCTTTTTCTTCACTGTTTATTGCTATTAATATTATTATCTATTATTACTATCGTCATCATCATCCTCATCATTGTTATTATTATTATTACTATTAGTAGTATTATTATTAAACAAAAATTTAAAGAAACTTGCAAAAGGATAAAAACGAAATTGAACCACAGTATCGCATTTCTATCTTAAAAGACTTTATAAAAGATTTATAGATTTAAGATTTTTTTTTTTTTAAATCACGCTTAGGCCTATGTGTTCTATTAGGGTTATGTATAACGTGTACTGATGCATATTTATATGTTTTAGAAGTATTCATTTTGAGTGATCACAGGAAAGAAAATGTATTGGCTTAAGAATAAGCTTTTAAAATTTTAACATTGTGTACAAAGGGTGGGAGCCGCGGCTCCCCCCCCCTCCCTGGATACGTCCCTGCCATGGGTAGACCGCCGAGGTTGAATGTTTCTTCCCTTGAACAGACCCTCAGAAAGGTCGGATTCTCTAGGTCGGGCTCTGGGTAGGGTTAGACCCGTTCCGTGGGTCGGACTATAATTTCTGTCGTTGCTCTTCTGGAGTGGACCTTTCTTCGGATCCACAGGGTGGTTCTAGAAAAAATACAACTACGGTCATAATTGTGGGTTGATTCACTTGGAACACACCATTTAGTGGCCGTAGTAGAAATGGCAGCGCAAAGCCATAAATTGGTCCGAAAATAATAATTAAAAATAATTTCCATCTTAATATTTTCAAAGAAAAACAGTCAGCGGGCCCATTAATAATATTTAGATTTTCAGAGTAATTATTGTGTGGCCTAGGTCTACTGTGTTCAATTGTCAAAACGCCCTATGCCATTAGGGGAGGGGATAAAAAGATAGGAAGCATTTAAAAGGGCACGGAAATTAATAGCACTGGGATTGAACTACTGTACTGGGATTTCACCTCCGAGTTCGGATTTGTTTCTTGGGTTGGACCTCAAGGTCAGATTTTTTTTCGGACTTTTACAAATTTTTCCCGTCAATTTCACAATTCAATGATTAGAATTGCCTCTTACAAAATGACAAAAATAAATGAATATTTTTATTATCAAACTGGCAATTCAATCGTCACTTTACTCATTGTAATAATATTGTCTTCTTATAAGTCAATAATAATAATAATATTATAATATGCAGACATTTATAATGATGTTTTCAATGATGTTGTTGATACTTTTAATTAATTTTATACCTGTATTTTTTAATTGTTTTATCGAATCTTTTGTTATTGTTCTTCGTTTTTTTTTTTTTTTTTAAATCTTGACAAAATGTAGGGGGTCCTGGCCAGCTGGGCACCTCATCCCAACTAGATTAATATAATATCATGCACCGCTGCACGGGAGCGCATAGGCGTTATGCCACTAACCATGGATAGCTGTTCTAGTTAATGGATCTTAAGGTCTCTGTCTTTTGGCCTTTTCTACATACGGATTTAATAAATCGTTGGAAAAACTAAGCTTAGTAGGGGATATACTCATACTGTAGCGTTGTGTTGTTCGTCGTCAAAATACTACGCAACAGAACAGGAAGTCGGGTGGACGGTGGTTTTGTGCTCATCAGAGCGTGAAGACAACCAAACAATAGGGTGCTTAATCCGAATCGCCGTTCTCCCCGTCCACTTTGCGTAATGTGCCAAATGCAATGTTGGTGAGTCTTAAAATAATCGATCTCTCCTTTCGCCCACTGCATGCTAGATCCGCCCTTCATACTGATGGGTCTTCATTTTTTCCCTCTTTCTTCCCTTTAACTTTTCTCAATTATTTTCTGCCTTTTTCATTTTTCGGCGGGACCGACAGGGGCACGGGCCCTCGTGCCCCCCCCCCCCCGGTGGGTATAGTGATGTATCTACGTGACGTCATTTCGTTTCAGAACTAAACCCCGGCATTGTGCAAACCAAAAAAAAAATTATATGTATTTTTTATATATTAGCTAAAATGGATTAAATACTCGATTAAAATCGATTAAACTTTTTTAGGGCTTCGCCCCTGGACCACTTTCCAAATATTTTGAGTGACGCCCGACCACGATCACTTTGCTCTCATTGGGGACATCGGACCCCCAATCGGGAAACCTGTACTCCCCCCCCCCCCCGAGCAAAGTCTAGCGCCACAATGATGATAATTCGTTGCACCCTAGTAATATTGCGGTAATGTTTGCATCCTTGCTCTGTCTGAAAGCGTTAGCCAGTCTGCGCAATGAAGCACAACCAATAAACAAGATTAAAGTTGTGCAAGATTGTGTGCAGGTTCTTTATGTTTTAATTTTTTACCGTTTGAAATGGACAGAAAAGCATCAGATTGTCGCAATATTGCAGTAACAAATGTGGTGTTTGAAAGGTTATAGGGCGGCAAGCAACCATGCCATCATGATTACTGCAATGTATATCTGAAAGGGGCTATTTCAAATTTCTGGATCCACTACCAAGTACTACAGTACATCTATTTTTTTTTTATTTGCCAGCTGCTTGAGCTCAAGCAAACTCTTTCAAATGGGTTCATCATATCTGTGTACTGAGGCGGATGCATGTTCTAGTTAATGGATCTAAGGTCTCTGTCTTTTGGCCTTTTCTACATACTGATTTAATAAATCGTTGGAAAAAATAAGCTTAGTAGGGGATATACTCATACTGTAGCGTTGTGTTGTTCGTCGTCAAAATACTATGCAACAGAACGGGAAGTCGGGTGGACGGTGGTTTTGTGCTCATCAGAGCGTGAAGACAACCAAACAATAGGGTGCTTAATCCGAATCGCCGTTCTCCCCGTCCACTTTGCGTAATGTGCCAAATGCAATGTTGGCGAGTCTTAAAATAATCGATCTCTCCTTTCGCCCACTGCATGCTAGATCCGCCCTTCATACTGATGGGTCTTCATTTTTTCCCTCTTTCCTCCCTTTAACTTTTCTCAATTATTTTCTGCCTTTTTCATTTTTCGGCGGGACCGACAGGGGCACGGGCCCTCGTGCCCCCCCCCTCCCGGTGGGTATAGTGATGTATCTACGTGACGTCATTTCGTTTCAGAACTAAACCCCGGCATTGTGCAAACCAAAAAAAAAATTATATGTATTTTTTATATGTTAGCTAAAATGGATTAAATACTCGATTAAAATCGATTAAACTTTTTTTAGGGCTTCGCCCCTGGACCACTTTCCAAATATTTTGAGTGACGCCCGACCACGATCACTTTGCTCTCACTGGGGAAATCGGACCCCCAATCGGGAAACCTGTACTCCCCCCCCCCCACCGAGCAAAGTCTAGCGCCACAATGATGATAATTCGTTGCACCCTAGTAATATTGCGGTAATGTTTGCATCCTTGCTCTGTCTGAAAGCGTTAGCCAGTCTGCGCAATGAAGCACAACCAATAAACAAGATTAAAGTTGTGCAAGATTGTGTGCAGGTTCTTTATGTTTTAATTTTTTACCGTTTGAAATGGACAGAAAAGCATCAGATTGTCGCAATATTGCAGTAACAAATGTGGTGTTTGAAAGGTTATAGGGCGGCAAGCAACCATGCCATCATGATTACTGCAATGTATATCTGAAAGGGGCTATTTCAAATTTCTGGATCCACTACCAAGTACTACAGTACATCTATTTGTTTTTTTATTTGCCAGCTGCTTGAGCTCAAGCAAGCTCTTTCAAATGGGTTCATCATATCTGTGTACTGAGGCGGATGCATGATTTGGTGGTAGGGGATGCATGAGTCCACACCACCACAGCCACACCATGATTGGGGCTGAGGTATGAAAATTTTGAAAATATGGACCTTCAGGTGCACAGAAATTGCACTCATACTTTAAAAATCTTACCGGTAATATGTTCATAATGACAAAAATAATATATCAACAATACAGTACAATTATTTTAATACAATTTAGGGTGGTGCCGATGGTGCGATCGCACCAAGTATATATA